AAAAACGCTACAGATCAAGCTGCAAACGTACAACATAAATCATTCATGAAATTGCTGTGGTTGTGATGCAAGTATAGGCATTTCTGCAAGGGAAAGAATAATTCATGCGTGTGGAATAATATTAAAATATTTTTCTACTCCCGTCTGTAAAATGCCTAATTATCCACCCATCTAGCCTGCGAGAAGCGTCAGTTTAGTTTCCCACGGATCTGAGCCACTTCGGACGATTCCGGAATTTTGCCGCACTGGTTTGGTTTGGTTGTTTTCGGAGATTTTGGATTTTGGAGTTTGAATTTTGACGTTTGTCAATCAATTATGAAAGTTAAATAAACAACATAACGTTCTAAAATTGTGTTTATTCCGTTGTTTCGTTATTTAGTCCACATATCCAATAATACATCTCTCTCTGTCTAACGTACACAGTTAAAAAGGGGCAACAATAGCAGAATCGGAACTATAAACGAAAAGGTTTAATGGCAACTAGTAAATATTTTGTTTGAATGGTACGAAATTAGTAATCCGATAATTTGATATTATTTTTAATTTGTTAAATTTTGATTTTTTTGTGACGATCCGGGTCGGGGATCGGGAACTTCATAAGCAAAGAATAAAGACGGTCATAAAAACGGTCGTAACACTCTCCAGTCAGTCCTTCCAATCTAACATTTTTTAAATCTAACAATAACAATATTTTAAGTGGTTATATTAAACAACACACACAACCCACATTTGGAGATAATGCATAGATAGATAATTCGCGAATTTTTCGGTTGGTGGCGCTTTTCAACGTAAACAAACGTCAGTTTTAGTTACAATCTCAATGTTTACATGCATTTATGCATTATTAAAAGCAAAACATGTAAATTAAATTGAGTGTACTGAAGGAACTTAGAGGACAATTTTTTCTACCCATCATAAGAGCAATTTGTTTTGTCTTTAGATGTGAAACGGCTAAGCTTTTCCATTAATGTTGAACTTCCAGACGAATCCACAACAGCACTGAATCACGAACTATACAAAACGAACTAGGGTTTTAACATAAAAAATACAACTCATACATATGAAAACAATGCAACCATTGTCAGTTTTACTTGCAATCTATAATATGTTTTTCCGTCAGAGGTCTCGTTAAATTGTAAAATCATCAATACTAAGCACAAATCACAAAACAAGAAAATAAGTTCACCCGCCTATGTAACACGTCTTACTTCATAAATACTTATGAAATGACACTTCCGAATTAACCCGCCGAGTTCATTACGAACTGTATAGTACCGCTGCATTTTTGCTAGTAGTTTTTCTAATGGGAATATTTAATAAAAACTTTTCATTTTCATAAAGTCACTTTTCTCACAAAAGCAGGCGTAGTACAAGACGCATGTGAAATCGACGTTAAAAACATTGGCGTAAGCGGCACATTAACAAAAGACATTTCTAACAAACCACATCGCTATTGAGTTAGTTTTCTAATTTAACTACCTGAATACACTGAATATTTTGTTTATAATATGTCGGTAAAAAATCCCGGCGATGTCCCGAAACATTGTCTCAGCCCGCCAAGATGTTTGTATCACTTTTCACAATAATTTCACTCTACAAATATATTCATCCCAATTTAGATCGAAATCGAAACACAATCTGTATATACCTAACAAATTATTTACTTATGATTTATGGTGAATGGATTTAAATGCTTGAAATCTTTTTTAAATAATAAAACTGAGCTAGTAAAACTCTGGGATGGAATTAATTATATTTCAGAATCTAGGGCGGTTTTGTTAGGTTGCTTGTTAGGTCTTCTTTTTTTTTCATTTTTTTGCGGGTAGTTACCTATCTCTTGCCGCTAAGGATGCCTTTTCTGCTTCTGATACCAAAAATTTTGAAGGATCGCTTACTGCAACGCCGAATGCCAATAAAACAGAGTTACTGGTGTTTTTTTGTAAGGGCTTGAATAACAGCTTTTTAATCAGGTAATAAGTTCGTAATGGTATTGTAGTTACACTTCTATAGGAGTTTGTTTTCATTCTCACCTAACTTAAACAAAAACTCTCTGGCTATTGCGTTTATATTATTTTCTATGCATTTATGCCTGACCTATAGCATTGTATGTTGGGGTAGCTCATCACTAGTGTTGGGCCATGGTCAATTGACCACTTAGAATAATGTTTTATAACCTCGTTATTGACCACTTAGAACTTAGAATGTTTTATAACCTCGTTATTTTTTTTGTCGCCTACTATTTTTTATTTTTAACTGTATATGGAATGCTTAAACTATTACTAATGCCATGAGTCAGTTGAAATTTTCAATATATGTAATCAATTAAAACCTAATTTTCATAGGAAAGTTCCTAGTAATAAATGGTCCATGCCTATGAAACTTAAATCATTTGCCATTTTCGCATCCATGCCTTTCCAAGAAGAATCGCGTGTCGTTCGCATATTTACGTCGATCTTTAAAAATAAAAAAGTTACAACCATTGAAAATGTTATCATGATAAATTCAATGTAATCCTTTGAATGTTTGCATATTCCTGCATGAATTGCGGATTAACTAGTGCAAATGACATATAGCTTATAACTTAGCTATTAGCCGCTCATTTTAAATAACCTATATAGTTCAGTTGCATGGTTTTACTGCTGTGCTACTTTAAATATTTCTTGCAAGGAATAAATTAAGTAACCAGCTCGGCCATTAAACGGACTAGTTAATAAAATTAACTGGGTTATTTTTGTCTCCCGCCTTTCTTAATAATTAAAGTCGTATTTTGTTTTATTTTGTTTTGTTGGTGCTATAATTTTAATCGAGGCGAAGTTTTTTGACCTTATTATCATTTTACGTGACAGTGATACTTGATAGGAGAATACTAAGTTTGCATATTAATTTATAAAACATTAACAAATAGGGCATCCTTAAATCCTAACTTAAATCATATTTGTTCTTGCTGCCGATCATTTTATTTTATTTTCACTGTTATAGTTTTTGACGTATTAAATAGTTACTTGTATTAGTTGATAAATTTAACTAAGTACAGTGTGTCACAACTTGCATCGTAGAAATTCGCACGCAATATTGACATTATTTAACGAATGTATTATGTACTGTTAATATCTTTAAAATTTTTGGTTGGGTTTACTTTTCTTTTATACTTTCTTTCCTTCCACATTGCGGTTGACTCTAAACTCTAATCTTAATTGGTTTCTTGAAAAAGTCATTTATTATTATTATTTTTTGAATCCCTCATAAAGAAGCATAATTTTTGATTTTTCGGTAGTAGAGCTACAACTAAAAGAGAGACCGCATAAGTGATTCATGAAATTGATGTTGTGCAAACCTATAGCTACTAAATATAAAGAGGTCGTACCTATGCTGATAATACAGGAATTTTCGAATCCAGAATGAAAAATATTGGGACGGGACATTTAATATGCGCATACGCGTTTATTTGAAGTCTCACTTTCGCCCAATAAGGAGTAGTACCGCTCAACAACCAGCATGGCTGCTGACAGTTTCTCAATTGGACATGTTTTGTTTTAAATGTAGCATTTTTTCAGCAATATTTTCTCAAAATGTGTCCAAATCTAGTTAAATGTTTTGGGAAAACGAGTTCGTGTGTGAAGATCGCTGTTCAGGAAGAAAATGGTGCAAAATGCAGATTACTGGATGAAAGTTAGAGACAAATGCGGAAGATCGTTCCTAATTTTACGAAAAAAGATAGACTCCCGAGGGACACCAATTTTGATTGAAGTAGGGTCACTTGACCACTTACAAGAGACTAGATCATTATATTGCCTCAATACAAACGCTTTGGAAGGAAAGATATATCTGATAAATGGAAATTTCTTGAGTCATCAAATTGGTAAAAATTGTGGTCATTGGTCTCATGTAAAGATTATCTCCTTTAATCCCAGGAGTACTTGGATAAAGGATAGTTTAATGAGTATTTCAGGAACTGTAGGTAGACAGACTACACTTTTTGACAATTTTAAGGCACAGTTCGACCATAGTCAAAAACCAATTGAAAAATATAGTAAAAAATATCGAAGCCTTTTGAATGGAGCTAAAATGACTGCTAATGATGCTCATATATTAGGTAATAAGCAGAAAGCTATTTGGCAGTTTATAAAAAACAATAAACCCTCTGTCAGATCCATTTCTACTTGCCATCAACGCGCTTCAGTAAATTTAAAAAGAATTGCGATTTCCTTCCCTACCACACTCTGATGATCTGATCCTATGTTACAATACTAGAACTCAAAAGGTAAGAGATGGTCAGTAATAATTTTATCGGAATAGTGGTCATGATCCACAGGTGTGCATTGTGTGCTCAGTGTATGTTCTTCTACTGATTTTATTTTTTGGTGTTATTCATTGTTAAAATCGAGGTCAAAAACTTCCTTACATTTCTACGTTGTCACACATTTCTTATAAACCATATCGCGATTGTTCAAAAAAGAACTATTTGTTATTTTATGGGCAATGTTTAACAAAATGTTGGGGTATAAAAATATTATTCTATGTATAATGTATCGGTTATAAACCAATGTCCATCACTGGAATTATTGTCTCAGCTCTTCAGGAATCTTTAAGATGGAAACAAATGCCATCTCCTTTGATTTATATGCCTTATATGTGTTCAACAAATATAATGTTCCAACTTGCAAAACCTAGTGGAATCTTTCCGACAACCTCTATTAGCGGTTCCCATGGAATTAGCAGCTTTCTCAAGGTTTGCTGAGAACCATCTTGTCTCACGTACCCAGACGCAGATTCAGCAATCTAGGGTTAAATCCCTAAAATACGGGATTGCGCCATAACGTACGAAGATTTGTGTCACAGACTTCCCGAAGTTAAGTTCATCTCGTTAAACCGGCAACACACGTGTGTTGCCCTTCGTTTTAATTGTGCTTCGTTGTTAATCTTTAAGAAGTTGTCGGGAAAACTTTGTGAAATAAATAAAAAGTGTTTATTAAATTATTAATATTTGGTATTTCTTACAGGTCGCCAGCATCGGAATAGAAGTTTTGACTTATTTGGCCGATAGGTTAGGAACCGACTTTAGACCGTATTTGCAGACGGTACTGCCAAACATAGTTGATAGATTGGGAGATGCCAAAGACACGGTGCGTGAAAAGTCGCAACTACTTATATTGAAGTTGCTCGAAAGGAACGTTTTAACGCCCCAAACCCTTTTCGAAAAATTACAACCCGGATTTACTCACAAAAATTCCAAAATTCGTGAGGAAGTTTTGAGATGTTTAGTCAATACGTTAAACGAGTAAGTTCGTTTTATGTCTTGGGGTATACTTTATCTTAAAGTATTATCATCTTGGCTTTTGATGTCAATGAAATAACTTTGCGACTGCAATGGAACACCGGACTAGTCACATTGACGGACATAGCATGGGCGGCGGACTCAAAGGTGTTTTAAAAAATATCATTATATATTTTTTCATTTTTCATTTTATTAAATATAATAAAATCACGTTAGTACTAATAAAAATTATCTATAATAAATTTACCGCAGTCATAATTAAGATTAATTGCAATTCTTAAAACGTCCTGTACTCTGTTTTTTCAACTCTGAACAGGTATATTATTAATTAATATTTTTATTGAATTTAACTTTATAAAGTGGGAGTAACATTTTCTGCTCTCATATTTGATTTTACTTGGAGCCGCAAATGTTCTGTGCATATACATGACATGGAGGAAGACGTAAAATATTTTGCCCCATCAACTAAACTATCACACACATATTGTTTTTTTTTTATAATTTAACACTTCCAACAGTTGTTCTCGTAATTGGGTTGAAAATAAATTTCGTTTTGTAACAAATATTCTTGAATTTCCGTTTTTCTACTTGCTGAATTTGTTGCTGTTTATATCATCCATTACAAAGACATTGTTAATACTATTAATGTTCTGGATTCCTCCAGCAGTTTGGAATTAATTGCTCTTGTGATTCACCTTGAATTATGATAATGCGTTTTCCTTTATTTGAAGATGCTTTGTCTTACAGTGTGTACTGGAATCAATCCGTCTATTGGATACTACGTGTGTATCGAACCAATTTCCCATTCCCAAATAAGTTTGAAGGGTGACACGGCTAATAATTATATTCTTTTTATGTTCTACTTTCCTTTTCAGATGGTAAGATTGAAAACCAATACGTTTTTTTTTTCATTTAATAATATGTTGTTGACAGGATACTGACCTTTTTGTAAATTTAATTTTATCGTTTGTGTTGTAAGATTTTCTACAATTCATTCATAAAAAGCTTTTTTGAATCGCACGGTAAAATGGGTTATTCAATACTGTCACTGATCTAAGTCAATGGCGATATCTATCTGACGTCCCTGTTTTGTCCCTTACCTATGAATAAATTATTGGCTATTAAAATGGAGAGTACGTTAAAAGAAAAGAGGATATACTTTGAGGTGCACTATAACATTTGCTTTTTTCTACGGTTCGTTGTTTACAGGCACGGAGCACATTCGCTGACGTTAAACAAGTTCATTCCAGATGTAGTAAAACTGTTGTCGGATCCGACAGCATCCGTCCGAGAAACAGCATTTAATACTTTAGTCGATTTGTACAAACATGTAGGCGAAAAGTTAAGGGCTGATCTGGAAAGGCGCAACTTGGTACCACAGAGTAAACGGCAATTGTTAGCGGCCAGATTTGACGAGGCCAAAAATAGCGGCAAGCTTTTACCAACCGCGTCGAAGTGTATCGAATGTAAGAAATTATTTTTATTGATGACAAATTTACATACAGTATTAGTCTCTTAATGCTAAAGTATTTTACAGTAACTTATACATACAAAAAATATTTGTTGAATAAGGATAATGTAAAACAGCAGAATTGCTGGGAACATAGGGCACCACAGAATATACAGACTTTCAATAAAATACAACCCAACACAGTCAAATTTGTTACCTTCTCAACATCACATACCATTCGTTAAGGAACTCATTGTTTAATATCGTTAAATGTCCATATTACTCTAGCCAATGGATTATGCAGTGCTTTACGTGTTCTTATGTTTGTAATATTATTATTGTACATAAAATTTAAATTGATGAAATTTATTTTTAGTCCTGTGTTACATTAATGATTGCAATATCGAATTTTATATTTGTTTACAGCATTCCAATTGAAATAAATTTCGTTTTGTAACAAATATTCTTGAATTTCCGTTTTTGTATTTGATGTATTTGGTGCATTTTAGGATAGGTGGCTGTGATAGCTTGTGTTATTACTACAATGACACCATTTTCCAAAATATTTTTAAACGATAATTTTGAAAATAATATTCAAAAAGTTACTTACTATATTAGAAATGTCAGTGTACTTGGACTTCTGCAGAGTTGAGGGTGCTTACTTAAAAATTCTTTCATTCATTCATTCATCTGAGAATAAGAAAATCTTTTTATATTTATTTGAAAAGATATTTTATACAGGGTTATTTAATGTAATATTGTGGCCAAAGTACAAGATTTTTAAAAAGTTTTACTTCTGGGACGTGTAAAGTCCCATTAAGGTAATCTTTTTAAATTGCTTTCATACTACATAGGTTGTCATACAAGTATTAAAAGTATGAAAGTTGTATTTTTTTTAATATATATTATAACATTTTTGTATTCTGCTACTAAAATAAGTGCTTCGATAACGTTAAATTTTAAGGTTTTTTTAATAATTTCATTTTTTTTTTAAATGTAACCAAATATTAATTTCATAAATACATCAAAATTATTTAAGCATATCTCAATCATATATTGTATTAAGGGTGGTCAAAAATGTGTCCTATAGCTAGCTAACTCTTCGCAGTTTCGCAGAATACTCGAAATTGCTTTTGGAGTTGTTCAACAACAACAACAACTAGATAAGGACTGTAAATAATAACATGGATAATACCAATTATATTAGATTTTATCCAGGTTGTAACAGGAATTAATTAATTAAAACTAACTCTAAGGACAACATGAGACTGTAGTTTGCTGACCTTTTCGAAGCATAAAAATTATGTCAATAGTAGATGCAAAAAAGAGTATTTAAGTCTGATAGATACGATGCAATTTCTGCATGTGTTTTTAGCAGATAAAAATTGCTAATAAAAATGCATGTATTTTTAACCCACCATTTTTTAACGGTAGACGCGATGCAATTTTTTCGAGCAAAATAGATTTGACTATTTTGGTGGAATTTTGTTTTTCAAGGTTTTTTAAATTTTGATATAATAAACCATACTTTTTAGTGTTTTCTAGTGGAAAATAGCTAACCTTTATGCAATAATATATTTACAGTGCATAACTTATGGGTAGATAAGGAAAATCAATAATCTCAATACTAATTTCTGTTCAGTTCTCTTATATTTAGAGCCAATTTTCAAATACAGTTTTTTTTTAACAAATTGTCTATTGGCACTGTGTATAATCATATATTTGAAAGGCAAAACTGCTGATCTGATCTGCAATTACCAGACTTGCTCCTTGAACATTTTTTCCACATTTTTCTCTTATCTCATGAAGCTTGCAATTTGGTACTAGACATGTTGCAATATTTACATCAAGAAATATATGTAGAAATTGCATGTATATATATGTGGAACAGCAGGACACTTAATCATTTACTTTTATTTCCAGTACCATTTGATGAAGTTGACAGAACGCCAGTGACTCGACTTCAGACTCCACTTAAAAAAACTATGAGCGCTAGTGGATTCAAACCTAAATCGGCACCGGTTAATCCCAATTCAGGTATTGTTTCTATATAACATATGTATGTATATAATGCTTGAGTCGATTTTGGGTTTAGGTTGATCAATAATATAAAAATTCTTTAAATTTCAATGTTTTTTCCAACGTTTCGGTCTTTAGTGTTATTTTCAAATGTAGGGGCGGTGTCGTTGCTCTTATGCAACCCCTTAATGAGAGTAACCGGTCCCAGATTAGATAAACATATAATGAATATACAACAATGATAAAAAGCTTTTATTTAACGAATTTACAAAGAAAAACCCTAAATAGAAGGAAAAGTCACATACATGTTTGGCCTCTGTTGCGGACAATATGGTGCCTATGATCTTGTTTAAAAGTAACTTATGACTAATCACCCCATTTTTTGTTAAATGGTGTGATTGGTTTAATAGATCATGTTATAAAACTAATATCACCATAATATAGACCACAAATCAAAATTGAGAACAAGAATCCTGAAAGTAATATTAATAAAATTTTTGAAAAACGAACCTGTATCATTTATCATAAAAATTAAATATCAAAAAATAATACAATTAAAAAAAATATTCAACAATATGTTGCAATACATAATATATAATAATATATCTGAAAATATAAAATATGTTCTTTTTAAACATGATATCAGCTTGCCACAAACCTTACAAATTAATAAAATCAATTCTCACTCCATTAAAAGTTGAAACTCGAATTATAGGGAAATGAAATATTGTATTGAGTATAAAATATTTAATTTCTTGCTTAAACTGCCTAAAAATATATTGAAATAACCAGAAAACTTTTGGAAATCGTATAAATGGACATAAATATATTAAAACCTAATCAACTGCTTTACATAAACACGAAAATTTAACAAACCATGAACTTAAATTTAAAAAAAAAAACGAAAATTTTAACACCAAATAAAAATTAACATTAATAAAATTAAGTCAATTATACTACAATTGAATAAGATAATCTTAATAAAATGTCAAATCATCTTTGTTAGAAACAAACCAATAATTAACTCTTATTTATTAACACATAAAAATCGAAGTCAAAATTTATCAGTAAAGATATATTGAAAATGACACTAAGATATGTTAATACATAAAACATTTTTTTTTAAATAGTTAATAACCTAATCCCAAGAACTACTTAAGTGTTTTATATACATTTCAACTTTGAAGAATAAAAGGAAAAAATATAAGTACTGCGAGAGGTGTTTTGACATAAAGATGTAAATTCTTTACTGGTGTGGTTGTGACTCACAGTGACTATTGTCAAAAATCCACTCGATTATAGTCCAACTTCGCTCAAATATTTTGTATTGCTGTTTAATTTGCTTTTTTTATTTTTACTATTTTATTTTTCATATCTGCATGAAAAGTTCTAAGCCGAGCCGCTTCTCTCCGAAAACTTACCGTTTCATCAGCATGTAAGTGACTTACAATTCATTTTTCATAACTAATTTTGTTATTAACAATCGATCGGTATTCGTTTTTTCATTATCGTTTCATTCGGTGTAGTTGGCTATCACACGCATATCATCATACAGTGCGCCTCAGTAAGTTGGAACAATAAGGGAAACTTTTTTATTATTAATTTTTAGAAAAAACTTATTCTTCATAAAAAGTTTTGCATGTTGGTAAATTTAAAATACAGTCATCAGATATCTATGCTTTCCAGTAGTATATGAGTTTGTCAAAAAATGTAAAACTTTACTTAAAATTCGACAATATTGAAAAATGTTAAAAGTTAATCAGAACTATAATCTACATTCGAATATGCTAAAATTATTAATTTTTGAAACGTATTTTCAAGTACAATAATAATGCAAAGTTCACTGCACTGCAGTTACTTGCACTCTAGGATGCGCTGAAAAGTAATGAATGGTTGACAATAATCGTCAAAACGCATAGCTACTAGAGATATAGAGGCTTTGAATAAAATGTTGATAAGGTACATTCAACATGCGCATACGCGAGATTTACAGTCTCGCTTTGCTCATAAATATGGTAGTGTTATTAAGTAGTCAATAGAAAATGGAACTGATTGTGGGAGAAAATACCTAAGTACCTATTCACTTGCTACAAAAATTATGCATAATTTCAGTTTGGAGTAATGCTGTTGTAGCTAATCCAAAAATGTCATTACACAAAAGGAAATCATTGATGCAAAAAATGTAAGTAAAAATACAGTGACAAAAATTTTATAACTGAATAAATAGAAACCATTCAAACCAAGAATAGTTCACGCATTGAAAGAAAGAGACTATGATAAGCGCTCTTTTATGAGACGTATTATTTTTTCTGATGAGGCAATATTCTCGTTTAATCGAACTGTCGCCTCTCAACGATGTCTCTGATGGTTAAAATCCCTATTTGGTAATAAAGTCTCATGATATGATATTTATTAAAACCTTAATAGGAACCGTTTTTCGCGAAATCATGAATGCCGAAACTTATTTATAGTTTTTACAAATTCACGTTTTTGATTGTATAGACGAACTACCCCTCGCAAGAATGATACTGTATTTGGTAACAACAAAATTGTGTCTCATTCCGCACTTTACACGGAGTGTTAGGAAATATCTTGAACATAGGTTCCATGGAAACGTTATCAACTAACCTTTTTTGGCCTGTCAGATTCCTTGACGCTACTCCGTTTGATTACTTCCTATAGGGTTACTGGAAACAAAAAAATTACCAGGTAGGGCAGTTTCATGTATTACTTGAACATGCTAATGGAACAAAGACATGCGCTCTTGAATGAATAGATATTAAATTTTTTTATTTCTAGAATTAATACTACATGCGTTGCTTAATATTTGTATGTTTTTTTTTATTTCCAATATAATTGCATATGCATTCATCACGTGTTTAAATTGCAAAAGTAACCAAAACATTAAGAACCAGGAAGGTAGTCATGACTTTTATGATCCCAGAATATACATGTTCATTCAAATTAGACACAATATTAAACAGGCGACGTAGTTTTTAGTTCCGATGAACTTTTTTTAATAAAATTTTTCGATATCGTCAAATTTGTCAGTGTTATTGACAAAGCTCGCATACTACCGAAACAAATTGATACCTGGTCATTTTATTTTAGATTTCAGAATATACAGAACTTTTTATCAAGAATAAGTTTTTTTCCTAAAGTTACTTCCTTCTCTAAAATAGCCAACTATACGCTGATGTAGACGCTGAAAGTGTCAATTTCACAAAACTTCTGGATTCATCTTGCGTTGATTTTTGATGAAACGAACTGGCCTGAGTCGCGATTAAGATTGTTTGGTTGCTTAGAGATTTCTATAATTCTCGGATTTTTAGTTGCTAGAAGGATGTAAGAATTTCATGTCCGGTCTCCTGATTGTTTTCTGCAACTGCTGTTGAGTTTATTTGTCGTAGTCTTAAGCCTCTTTCATGTGCTTTGAGCTTAGTTGATATTTTTCTTCCGATATCTCCAATCTCTCTTTGCTGCATATGCTTGCAATGCTGTAAACTCATGTTATCTCAAACGGAATTTTGTCTTTGACGAATCAAAGACGTTGAGACATTTTTGGACAAGTGGTAAATCTGATTTTGAATTTATATTTCTAAAGAATAATAATGTAGTTAATGATGTTTTCAATGTAAGGAAGGACATCAGTGGGAAGTGTAGGGTTGATTGTCTTCGGAAGGTTGTGACGAAGTGTATTTTGTGATGCAACGCTTAATCATTAGAGATAATGTGGAATTATTAGAGCGCAGATGTAAATTGTTTTGGTTAGTTTGAGATAATTAGTAATAGAGTTTTACGGCTTTGTCTGTGAGAGTTGATAACCGATGATTATTGGGCCGGATGGTGATGTAACAATGCATTAGGGTGTCTGACTGTGTGCGTCGGTTTTCTGTCAACAAAATGATCCAACGTTGAGTCTGATTTTCTAATGATAAGAATATCTAAGAATGGGGGATTATTACTAGTTTCTAATACATTAGTAAAACTTATGTTAGGGTGTATAGGGTTTAAATGGCTAAGAAAATCTCATAGGGATTCTTGACCATGAGACCAAGTAACAGAAGTATCATCCACGTAGCGTTTCCATAATTTTGGTTTTAGATGGAAGGTGTCGAGGACTTTCTTCTCAAAGGATTGCATAAATATATTCGCGATGTCTGGTGATAATGGTTTTTCAATGTTAGTGAGAAGGTTTGTTTCTAGATTATCGGATTTTAATATATCTGAAATAATATGTAGAGTTTCAAGAATGGGGACTTTAGTAAAGAGAGGTTCTCCATCGAAATGTAATAGTTTTTATTTGTTAAGTACGAAACTATCAGTTTTCCACGTAAAGGGTTTTGATATATTCTGATAGAGAAGCCTTAATAACAGATCTAAGGTTGCTTTCCATAGGTGACATAGGAACTTTTTTGTGTTCATGACCACCACAGGATTTTCTTTATCTTCTTTTAGAATTACGATGTTCCTACTCTTGAAACTCTTCTCATCTTAATTGAAAAATGCTTGTCTGGATCAGGTTTTTCTTATAACCGTCAAAGTTTTGAATAAATGTCGGGAACAGCTATGGGTTCTCCATTATCACCAGTCATCGCTAATATATTTATGGAAGCCTTTGAGAAGAAAGCTTTCGACACCTTCAATCTAAAACCAAAATTATCATCAAGAATCACTGCTATATTTTCTTAGACATTTAAACTCCATACACCCTAACATACATTTTACCATTGAATTAGTAACTAATAATAACCTCCCATTCTTGGATATTCTTATCAATAGCAAATCAATGGGTCATTGTGTTTACAGGAAACCTACGCACACAGACCGATATCTTAACGCATTGTCACACCACCATCCGGACCAAAAATCATCGGTTATAAACTGTCTTGTTTACAGAGTTGTAAAACTATCTCAGTTCTAATCACTGAACCCAGAATTAAAACACCTTACCTCTGCTCTTCTCTCTAATAATTCCGAAGTCCGAAAGCAACCTAACACTTGCCACTGTTGTCCTTACTTACCACTGACCACATATCAAAACTTATTAAGAAATATAACGTCAAAACCAGATTTACTGATCTTCGTTTACAAAGAATACATTGGAGTTTTTAGTGACCCGACAACAAATTTTATTCGATAAAATTAAAATTCTTGCAAGTAATCAATTCTTCTACCAACGAACAATTCGAGAATCTATAGAAATCGCAGGAGGAATCTAGAAGTTTTGTAAATAGTATTACAGTAGCCTGTGGAAGTTTCTTTGAAAAGTTGACATCAGTTTCGCTTCCTACCGCTGCGAGTGACTTCGGAGATTTCCAGGATATTAGCACACGGGTTTGGGAGCAATCGGATATTTTTGGAAAGATTATCCAAAGCTTGAGTTCTGACCTTTTTCAATTCTGACGGTCATGGCAGTTAATGTGGTCGCGTTAATTTGCAAAAATGTACCTGAAAATTAATTGTTGTAGAAAAAGTGTAGTCTAAAACACGTTTGGTAAACTTTTTGAGTCACTCGTTTATTAAGCACTCGCCCCGTTTACCACACTTGTTTCATAATATAAGTATTACTTACCTGCATTACCCATGGTTTATATATTTTCTATTTTCTGTATTCATTCATGATTTATTTTATTGTAGTCCTTAATGATTTTTTTTTGTTTTTATTGAGACTGCTTGAAGTATAATATGTTGTTTGCTTTATTTCTTTAGCCGGTGCCGTCGATGAAGAATTGTTCATTAAGTCATTTGAAGATGTACCGAGTATACAAATCTTTTCGCATAAAGAGGTCACGGAACAGTTGAAAGTTATTCAAGATACTATAGCGGATGCCAATAAAGACTGGAATAAAAGGGTAGACGCAGTAAGTACTTGCGTTTGTTGTTCATATTTTATATTACTGTAGAACGTCTTTTCTATATTTTCATTAAATGTTATCCTGCCTGCAATATCTCTAATTAGAAACTGCCAGTTGCTACTATGTAATGACAAGAGGATATCTTCTTCCAATATATTCTCTTTATGATTTCAGATACTAACTAAAAGCATTTTCAGCACAAATTCTAGCTGGCTAGATTTGGACTAATTTGTTATGGAATGCATGCTATTTTTACAAAATTATTATTGTACTAGAAATCATAAAATTGTATGTATTCAATTATATATATTCAGTTTGTCATCTGAAAGCTCAACTAACACTTTGCGCACCTTAAAGTTTTATTATAAATAATTTACAAGAAACCTGAGCTTTTATAAACAGTTTTTATAGTTTTATAAGTAAACCATTCATGTTACAAGTTTAGTAAAGCTTACAATAAATAGCAACACACTTCAAATTTTATAACCAGACCAACGTTTCCGTTACTTTATCTATAAAACTTTGATTAGTTTCGTTTTTTTTTTTAAATGTATAATGCTTTTACTCTTGAGCTTTTATAGCTTACTCAGTAAGACGCATATAAATCTTAAAGCACCAAATTGAAATACTGTAGCTACTATGAAAGCTAGACTCTCATGTGCTCGGGATGACCGTCAGGCAGTGCAGTCTTTCTTTCGTTTGCACTATACACATGTTTTTCAAGAACTAATGAATAAACAACTGAAAAGTAAGGTTATAATTGCATGATTGATCCCTTTTTGGTAAGTTATGAAACTGTCAGTATTCCAAAACCATCTAGGTTTTATTGCAAGGGCAATAGTGCTATAAGATATCTCGATGATTTTTATAAAAGTTTCCAAGATTATGTTGTTTTTACGAATCGACATAAAGAGCAATATTCCTTGGAAATATTCAGAGTTTTTGAGTTGTTATAATGTATTTTCATAGTGATCTCCAAGTAAAAATTTATTGCTGTCAAATACAGGACACGAATTAAAATATATTGTAAACAAATTATATAGAAGAAGAATGCGTTTTTTGTTTGATGTTTATAAACACTGTAGGTTTTATACCGGTAACGAAAACGCATTCCTTGCACCTATAAATCTTACATACCGTTTATAAAGGTAACGAACCAAATGAGCAGTAAAAGTTTTATATGTGAGTTTTATAATAGTATCGAAAGCGTTTTGCGCAAAAATTGATAGGCTTCCAGGTTTTATAAAATAGGTAATCGAAAAGTAACTGTTCGCATTATTTAGCAACACAAAGTGGCTAATATTTCCCATGTACAATTGACATGCACCTTGCACATTATATTATTTCTTAAATACGTTTTTGTTTTAGCTGAAAAAAATTCGTTCTTTAGTCCTAGCTGGAGCTGTAAATTACGAGGAATTTTACGTTGCTCTTAAGAATTTGGATCTAGCGTTGCAAGGATCACTTAAAGATCTGCGATCGCAGGTAGTGAGAGAGACTTGCATTACAATAGCTTATCTATCTCAAACGTTGGGCAATAAATTTGAAAAAACCGCAGAACTGTGCCTGCAACCTTTGATTAATCTAATACAAAATTCGGCAAAGGTAAGAAAATTATTTTCCACGAATTATCGTAATTTATTTTTGATGATTTTGTGATCGTATTTTAGATCATGGCCACATCAGGTGTCGTAGCTCTTAAGTTTATTATTCATAATATTCACAGTGCCAGACTGATACCTATTATCACAAATAACGCGATGAATTCAAAAAGTAAGGATATACGTAGATCATGCTGCGAATTTGTTGAACAAATGCTCACGACTTGGCCCACTCATCCTTTGGAGAAGCATATCCTCCTGCTGCAAGATACCGTCAAAAAAGGGATAGCCGATGCCGATCCAGAGGCTCGAGTGTCCTCTAGAAGGTGGGTCAAATGTTGGGTTAACAAATTAATTTGAGCTATGCCTATCAAAACCTGAAAAAAATTGCAATCCGTAATCCGCAAAAAAGTATCGCCTAATAGCATTAGCCAATTTCCTTGTCTGAGGAATCAAACAGAATAACAAAACAGAAACAACATTTATTTTTTTTTTAATAAAAAATTTCCTCCCCGAGTTCGAGTTCGAGTCTACATTTCGCATTTTTACCTTGAGTTGTAATCCAACCTCTTGCAGGTATTTAAATACACGTCACGCCTGGTCTTGCATTATCATGCGTAAAAATGAACACATCTCATATATATTACAACATTTGGTTCTAAAATGTCACTCCAACTCTAAATTTATTTACTAAAATGTTCGAACACCCCTACCGCTTTCCCTTAAAAGATACAGCAAAAAACAGTAACAAAAACCATTCAAAGAAAAAGAATTTAATTTATCCCAGTTGGGTGCATTTTAAGAATGCGATTAATTAATTTCCAACACGTGCGTGTAAAGTGCTTTTCTTAATTGTCCACCCGCTACAGTTTGGCTACTTCACGTGCATTTCCCACATTGTTTAAGTCATTTTGCAGTTGTGTTGCCGTAACCTGTCACGCTCGTAATGGCGATCAGCTTGACGACTTGTGTAGCGAGGGCGTCCAAAAACAAGTCATCTCCTGTAATTTCTCTTTACCGGGATATCGCTTTTAAGCCACTGATTAATATTTCTTAAGTTCGTAAAATAGTCTGCTTCCGCCCAGTTTCGATTAACGCAATAATTCTGGCATTTGTTCTGCAATTAAAATACTCTTTTTTTATTTGTATTTTCTTTTTATGTGCAAACGCCTGTTTTTTTTTTCGTTCGTACCATTTTACCGATTATTCGATACTTTTTTGCGGTGTGTATAAGATTCGTTAAGAAAAAATTGTTTGCAGGGCATTTCGCGGATTCCGTGATCATTTTCCCGATCAAGCGGAAGTTTTGCTCCAGTCGTTGGAACCCAGTTACAGGCGTGCGTTGCAAACCGACGGGATGTCCGCCAGTTCATCAAATAACAATCTTTGTTCCTTCAAACCTCCTAGACAGTTTGGCCGGACAACACCTCAAAGTACTTCAGGTTTGTTTCCTATCTTTCGGCAATATTGTTTATATCGTCAACCATGCTAGATTTACGTTTGTACTTATCATTCAAATTTTGTTTTTGCTGCTGAATTGGATAATTAGGTAGCATTGAAAATTTGGCTATTGCGAGTTGTGGCCTCCAGAGGGCACCGTCTTTGCCAAGGAGCTATAGACAACGTAGCGGTATACCAGTATTATCAAGAGAAAGTGCTAGTATGTAGAGTTTTGGGCACTTATTTTTATTTTATAGCACCTTAAAGATGCTTAAGTTATTGAATAATTATATAGTTTTTCATTTTAAAACAATAACTTAAATTCAAAAGAATGAGCATTCTGATACTAGTTCTCAAAATATTATGCACATGCCTCATACAAATGTCATTGGTTTTCGAGAACACCCTGTTCCAAAGTTTAAATTTTATTCTGAATTTCAACGTGGAATGTTGCTGCTAGATTTGAAAGAATTTATTTCAATTTTCCAAAGAAAAGGGACTTTTGTTTATGCCGTCTAACTATCAGTTTTTCACTTATTTGCATGTAAAAAGTATTTTTTCTTTTTTTTTTAAATTTCTTAAGAGATAAAAAGGTACGGGGAGCAATAAAAAATTGTTGTTTCACAATAACAATTTTAGTAATAGTATTTAAAAAGAAACACAAAAAATATCTTGAAACCTGCGACATTTGGGCATCCCTAGTCCAATCATGATATTTTGGTGTTTAGTATCTCCTGTTTAGAGATTTAGAGATTTCTACCAATGTGGATGAAAAAGATTGCCCCAGTTAATTTGATTTGATATGAACGATTTATTACTAGCCAATGCAAAAATAGATCGTTAATTATATGCCAATATCTTTTTCCAGATGGCCCAAGGAAAGGGTTTAGGAGTAATTCAGCGATTGACTTGCAAGCAGCACAGAGAGCGAAAGCAAGAGCCCAGTATTCGGCAATGGCGAGAAACAAAATTCAATCAGGCACAGCTAGCCTCCGTAGGTGTCATTTGTAAATGTCGCATGATTTTTAAGTAGTCGTTTCAGTTATAAAAATCGCTTTTAGAATTTTGTTGTTTAATTCACTATTAACTAGCTACAATTAGTTTGATATTTGATAATTTAATGTTCCGAAATAATTGCTTTGGTATTTTATCAAGAATGCATTGTCGCTTGCATTTTTTTTTTAACAAATTAACCTGTTTCTATCCCTTTCTTTTCATGTTCATTCCGCCAGAGGGGGAGGTAGCCCAACAAGGTACTTTTTTGATTTTTTAGAGCTGATTAGAAGATCGGTTGTTTTAAAGTTGACACTTCGAAGTTTGCAACAATTTTCAGTTGGATTTTTATATTTTACAAATGTACTAAATTTGATAAACTATTACCCCATATTTTACAAGAAAAAATAATGGAAACTACGAATATTTTTATTGAGGTCACTGAGAATTTTGGTGAGTTTTGAGAGATTTGTAGAGGGTTTATTATGTTAAAAATATCAAAAAAACTTAGAGGCAAATGTTTGGATTCATTCATACTTTGGTGTTTGTATTTTCGTGAACAACAACTGTATTATTTTAAATAGAACATTATATACATATATATTAAGGCATTTTCTAGTTTCTTCAAATTTTATAGACATATTTTATATATTTTTGATTTTCTGATGTATTTGTAATATATTATGAATTTTATGTCACAAGTGACATTTTCTGGTCTAAAGCACTGGACTGAACTGAAAGCCGTTGTTATATATTTAGAGTTGATTTCCTTATAGAAGTATATTGTAGTGTATGTTGATATTTTTGAAAATAAGTAAGTTCAGTGTACCAAAAACTAACATTCAAAACAAAGAATGTGAATAAATGATACTTGATACTAAAAAAAGGTGACTATGTAAAAAAGGTGTAGATTTTAAAATAACAATAAAACGTTTTTCCAATATAAAATTTCTAAATGGATGTAAATTGTCCAAGACGGAACATAGCAGAAAAAGAAAACATTCGAGCATTAAAGAAATGGTAAATACTATTTACTGTCTTTTAAAAATTTTTTCTAAATCTTATAAATCATGTATAGTAATTAAGCTAATAATTATTAATTTATTATAAGTTACTCCCTTCTCTAAAATACCCAATTATACACCGATCTACCGTATGGAAAGTGTTCTGACGGTCATATCATTGAATGTTTTCATGTTGTTTTGCAAAAATGTACCCAAAAACTAATGGGCGTAGATAAAGTATAGTATGCAACATGTTTGGTATACTTTTTAAGTCACTAAACACTCGCTCCGCTGCGCTCTGCAAGTGCCAAATAAACTCGTGACTCAAATGCCGCTTACCACACTTGTTGCATAATATACTATGATCATATAAAGTCAGTCTACACTGCCACTGTTATTAGCCTACATGTGGTCGACATCTACCAGACTCGCCCCTGTCTTGTCTTTACATATGAATAAATTATTGGTTGTTGGGTTTACGCAGTAACATTAGATATCAAGACACTCTTGACTCATATGCTGTTTACTATATATATATTTATTTATTATTAAAGTGATTCCCTTTTATCCCAAATATATTACAATTGCTAGATATACTTAGATCTGCAAACGTTATTATTGATATAAAATTGAAAATATGTCTAAAAAGGCGAGTCTTGGGTATAACTTATTAGATATAAAATGGATCTACAAAGTTCTGTGTTTTATTTTAACAAATTAGTTGTCAATCAAACATATTGGCTATTTTTTACTACATATATTTTCGAATCTCCCTCCAATGGTTCAATGAAAAAAATTAATTATTAATTTTTCAGTCAGTACTACGTTAAAAAATCAGTAATTATAAATGAGCCGGAAACGTGTTAGACGTAAGTATCAAATTGTGATGAATTATTAAAAGTGTCCAGAAATCAGGAAATAGGAAATACCTATATGATATGTTGAAGATTGTTGCAAAACTGCAGTTTTATAATGTTTTCTTAAATAGTTATCAGAAAGTCAAACTGAGAATGGATTTTAGATCAATTTTGTGCTATCTAGAATTTACGTAATTTGACTGCTCATTTATATTGTTCGTGTCATGCCCATCATCAGTGTAGATTATAATGAGGGAATGTTCAGTAAATGGTGATGTCCTAATTTTAGCTCGACCACGAAAAGCGGCGGAGACATTGACCACTTCGTCCCCGGAAAGGGTTAGCAGAACAAGAAACCGAAGTTCCCAATCACAGCGTAAGTTTGGCTCAACGGCCAATTTAAGTGTTTGAGTATAAAGCTATATTTCGCATCCTAGCTACGAGTAGATCCGGTTCCCCGAGTTCGCGTTTGGCTTACTTGTACCACAGGTCCGAGCATGATGCTGTCAGATCAAGAAGGTTACCATCTGGCATCCCTAGGTCGACAACTGGTAATAGATGAAATTTACCTAGTCTCCACTAAGGGCAAGGAGGTACGGTATTAGGAAAAGGGACAGTCATAGAAATCCGAAAACAAGAATAGGTAAATCAGTCAGCAGAAAATGCTGGAAATTATTTTCCAGTTTCTGGAATGGCCACCAGGTGACGGAATTGTTATTTTAAATTTTAATACTCTGTTTCTATAAAAATATCTAACGTTAACCATAGTTAAGGTGAGTAACTGTTTTTAAACTGAGACAACTTAACTTAAGGGAGGGTTGGAACGTTTAACTTAAGTAAATTTCTATATCTCCAAAAAGGTTTAATGCATTTTAGGAAACTTAAAACCGTTACAAAAAGTATCAATCATTCTGTAAGTGTGGAGTTTTCTGATATAATCGCAAAAAAAAACTTTTTTCAAAAGCTATAAATGCAACGATATGACTTTTTTGTCATTGGATAGTCAAATAATCCCCAACAATCCAGTGAAAATCGCATCCAATAACTTTATTCTAACCTAAAATATGAATAAAAGAAATTAATGTTTAAATCAAAGTTGAATTTTAGGAAGACGAACCAAAGTTGGATTTTAGGAAGAAGAACCCCTTTACGGGTTGTTACTAATTCGATTATCTAGAATTTATCAAATAATTTAGTATGCCCAATTATATTTGAAATCGAAATAAAATGTTATTATTTATCTTTATTACTTTTTTGCAATACTTTTGGATGGCCACCAAATTACTGATGGCTGGCATTACAACGTTCTAATATGCTCAGCATTTTTCATTTGTTTAGCATTAAATCACTAACTTCGTCAGTTAAGTCAATTGTTGGTGACTAACTATTTTTATTAAATATTGATGTACTTAAGAAGTAAAATGTGGGAAACCACTTAAAAAAATGGATAAAGTATCTCTTGACTAAAGAAATTTATTGCTAATTATCAATATTGCCATGAAAACGCATATTTCGGGTCATTTAAATGTGTAAAATGTTTATTACATTAAAAACGTCTTATTTGTACGCACTGTAATCCAGTGCACAGAAATGGACTCGTCGGAATGGAAAAAAAAATATTATTTCAATACACGTTTTACTACTAATCATAATGAATTAAATTGGTCAGTCCTCAACAACTGCTTAATTATAGTTAGTTGATTAAACCTATAAATGAAATCCAGAAGATTTGTAAATAGGATTACGGTAGCCAGTGGAAATTTCTTTGAAAAATTAACTACTAGGTAATTTTGTACTAATCAAAGGTATTGTAAAGTAAATTAAATGATAAATAACAACTTTTTTTTTGAGCATTAAGTTCTTTTATTCATATTTTGGGTTAGGATGTAGTATATTATGCAACAAGTGTGGTAAACGGCATTTGTGTCACGAGTTGTTTTGGCACTTGTTTTGCATACTATACTTTTTCTGTTTTTGGGTTTATTTGTACAAAACAACACCAATATGTTCACTGCCAGAATTGATAAACGTCAAAATTCAAGCCGTGGGAAATGTTTTCGAAAACATCATCTTGCTCCCAAACCAGAGCGTAATATCTCGGAAATGTCCGAAGTGGCTCGGGTCTGTGGGAAATGAAACTGAAGTGATAAAATGACACTTTCCCCATACTAGATTGGTGTATAATTGGGCTGAAGGATTATATAGAAGGGAGTAGAAAAAGGATATTGAAATTCGGTTTTTATATGATGAATAAGTTATATCTTTGTTTTTTTTTTGCGATTATAGCAAAAAAAAAACAAAGATAGAAAAGCCTATTAAATGCCTTTTTAACGATTCCAAGTTTCTTAAAATGCGTTAAGTCTTTTTACAGTTATCCATAATGAAAACGTTCGAACACTACCACCACTTTCCTAGCAGTACTCACTATAAAATTGACATAAATTTTTTTAGAAAGCTAATTTTAAAATTGAAGACAACAATCACCCCCTGATGGCAATTTTAGAAACTCGAAAATAATTTTATTTTCTGTGGGCTGTTTTACTTAACGATTTTATTTTTTCAAATAATGGTCTGCTTCCCCAATACCGTACCTCGTTACCCTTACTGGGACATCCCGTATGTATCGTTATTATTGTTATATCCCATAGGATCAAGAGACACTTCAAGAGAAACGAGCCCCAATAGAGGCTCTAGTCTAAGTAGGTTCAGAAGAGCCAGCGATCATCGACCCCCCATGAGTCCTGCCTCTCGGCCCGTGTTAGCACAAAAAATCCTGCAGCAAAGCAGGGAAGCGGAAAATGCACTGGCCGACGTTTTAGTAAGTTTCCATTCGATTTGGATGATCTTACCCTTGAAAGATTAATTCTGTGTTGTCTATCTGTTTCTAGTATTAACGTATGTCATGTATAAAAAAATTTCAGATTGATAGCGGCGACGGCCACTTTAGAAGTCCAAGAAAAACAATTAGATCTTTAGATAATCACTCTGATGAGTCTGAAACTTCCAGTGTTTGTTCCGAAAGATCTTTTGACTCATTCAAGAGGCCCTCAGACGTGAGTATTTTTTCAATGCTTTGGAGACATTGCTACCGATATTAAAACTCAAAATTTATTATTTTCAATCACTTTCTATTCTTCTGTTTTTGTTCATGGCAGTCGTATTCATGGAGTGGTTCGCAACAAAGGTTGGCCAGCAGAGATATGTGGGAACCCTGCACAGTAAGTACTTGTTCCTTTTGGCATACGCTATTCAAACACCTTCACTTATTCCCTTTTAAAAAATGTCGATCAGTGAAAATAAATAATTCAATTCGTTAAGTTTATTTCGGAAATGTGAAGTTAGCAGCCAAGTTTTTATTTAACTGACATGTAAAACATAACACTAACAATTTTCTTATATTTTAGCCGATTTGATTTTTTTGTAAATGGAAGACCCTGTATATTTTATTAGTATATAATGGAACACGTTATTCTGATTACGATTATAACAACAAATATATATATTTTTTTCCGGATATTGCCAAGAATAGGAATTTTTCATATAATATATAATAATAATAATATAATAAATAATAAATAATAATAAAGAAGCCGCATAATTCATTCATACAATTACTGTTGTGATGCATATATAGGCATTTAAGGACGGGACGAGTGGATTGAAGAATGTTCCCTAAATGACAATGGTTGCTATGGGGCCCTCTTAAAGTAGGAGAAAATAATTCACGAGATAGACAACAAATCATTGTCCTGTTTTTTCATAATTTCATAATTTTCTTAATTATATTAAAAATAGTTAATAGTCTTTGGAAATCTATAATAGATAATACTAAACACAGATATACAAAACATTGGCTATGAAACATATCTTCGCATTGTTCACATACAAGTAATGACACTGAATTTGAACCACCAAGTTCTTTCCAAACTTCATTGTATTTCGGCATTTTTGCTATCAGTCTGTCCAAAACAATTTTCCACTCTAAAAAAGTGCTTTCTTCACAAAAGTGACGTATTGTGAAACACACGTGAAATCGTAGTTAAAAACTCCTCTACATTGGTATGAGCGTTGTAACATTGTCACATTAAAAAACATTTCTTACAAAAATGTTTCAGCCAGCATTGCGTTAAAATGGAAACAATGCGATCTTCCTCGATTGTTTAACTATGCTTCACATATTCTGTCAGATTAAATACAGGATAAAACGTTATCAATATAAATTGTACTCACGGTACAAAGATTATATTTTTCTGAGGCGATTTTTTTAAATTTCTGACAATCATTACTACTTTTAGCGGATATTTGAGAAGGAAAATGTTAAACTTAGCTTTTGCATCTTAGATTGTCGTTTTTTAATATAAAATAAACCTTGCAAGAAACTAACCAGAAGTTTCCTATTGCCTTTCATCATAAAGTTTATACGAATGAATTTTTAGTATACGCCATATAGCTACTAGATATATAAAGACCCTGCTGATATTACAGACACATGCGCGACCAACAGAAATCTTTTTTTTTATCTTTTTTTTTTCAACCAATAAGATGTATAGTCGGAATTAGACCCATTTGTGACGTCATGCTGGTTGCCGAAAACATATGTTCGAGTTATGTTTCGTTAATATTTTTCCAGGACATTAATGAGATAATAGCTCTCTGCGCGAGCACGAATTGGCAAGAACGACGTGACGGTTTACTTTCCCTTCAGTGCTATCTCACTCAAGAGATTAAATTAACAAACGGAGAGCTTAAACATTTGACGGAAATCTTCACGAAAATGTTTATGGATTCCCACACCAAGGGTTGGGCAGTGTTCCTAGATACGTTGCACGAAATCATCAAAATGCATAAAGACGACTTGGGTTACTGGCTTTACGTTTTACTCCAGAGGGTGTTTTTAAAAGTCGGTGCCGAAAATTTAAGTTCCGTGCAGAATAAACTGATGAACACCCTCGAATTAATACGTTGTAGTTTTCCCATTCACTCTCTCATAACGAACGTGTATCGGTTTTTGTTGGACGCCACTCAGACGCCGAATACCAAAACGAAAGTGGTGGTTTTAAATTTTTTAACGTCGCTTTGCGGTCACCATGACGCTGCCCAAGCTATATCGACCTCGCACAACTCGCTCAGCGCCCTCCAAAAAATTGTCGCGCTGTCTCAAGATTCCAAGTCGCCGGACATCAGGCAAGCGGCCAAAATGTGTTTCGTCACTCTATGGAATTGCAACACTCCGCAGGTCACATTAATGATGGGCGAACTGACAAAAGTAAGTTTTTATTTTATTTATTTATATTACAATTTTACAATATTTAAATTTCAAAGCATAAGCATACGGGAAAATATCTACTTGACTTAGACACTTAGGTTAAATCCAAAATTAACACATCTTTCTGTGCCTTTTGTTTCGTGTTAGCTTTATTTAAACTATTTAGTTTTTCAAAGGCTTCCTCAAAATTAGTAAAAGATTTTTTGTCTATATATAGACTGAATCTGAAGACTTTCGGCTATAGCCTCTTTGATGCCCTAGAGTTCAAATTTTTGCCTTTTTGGGCTTAGATAAATAACTCGGAAAACCAGGTGAAACAGAGTGTACTGCACCCACAGCAGAGATTATATTATTAGCACCAAATTAAGAAAATAATTGGTAAAAACTACTTTTTATCAAATGAGGTGCTTTTAAATTGGCTGTTAGTGCTTCTTCTAAATTAATATAAGAAAATTTTTAACTTTTTAGCCCATCTTGTAGTACTTAGATTATAAAGGTCGCTGCAATTATCAAAAACTATTTCATTAAAGCTCTCGTTTTTTTTATAGGAACAAACGAATCTTCCCTTTTTATTGCTTGAACCCATTTTCCTTGCGGTTGCGCTTGTGCTATTCAGAAATTCGCCACTTCTGGCCCAATCTTACAATTCCACTTACAGTTCAGAAAGCAACAATAGTTACCATAATTATATAAAAAACACAGCAGCACACGAAACACAAAACTTTATAATTATTAAGTAGTCTGTAGTTTAAATATTCAGGTATTATCGCGCACACATAAACTGTTATGTAAATATCATCCTACAAACAAACAATCGAAAACATTAAACGCTAATATTTAGTCTCACACACTAATTCTGAGACTTGTAACGACTGTTAAACTATTTCACATCTTTTCGCGAATATTTTTTAATTTGTCGTTTCTTTGCTTTATGATAGAGTTGGAATTGCTTCATCGCGCCATTTTGAAACCAGCAATGGACTTCCTAATTTGCAATGTGAAAGATTTTTTATTTGTTTCAAGGAAAAAATTTGGTCCACGCAATACGAACATAGAACGATTGTTTTAAGTATTCTAATAGAGAAATTTTTGAGGCGTCAAGCTTTTATTCTGTTGTGATATTTAATTTCTGCTTTTAGGAGCAGCAGGATATCGCCTCAAATATTGTACATAATCATATGAGAAGAACTTCAACGGGTAGCGATCCTAGCAGTCCCATGGTGTCTAGTAGTCCGAAACCATTGTCCCCCGGTATAACACCATTTGGAGATCAAGAAGATGTTTATAAGAGCCTTCGACGTACAACAGCCGAAATACAAAATTATAGCTTTGAGACATTAGGTGAGGTTATGGAATTTATAGTTTTAGTTATAAAGTTAGGTGAGGTTATGGAATTTATAGTTTTAGTTATAAAGTTTTTGTGTTTCTTTTATATCAATCCAATTATGGTGTGTATAAGGAATTTATTTTTTGTTTTAGGTCCTAAATTAGATAGAGATAGGGATACAACTTCTCAAGACTCAGGTATTTCTCAAATGTCCATAGGTAATGATATGAGGAATGACTTTGCTATTATAGAAGAGAAAATGGATGAGCTTAGTATTAGGCATTTTAATGTAAGATCTGGTCCTAGATCTTTACCATATACTAGTGTCAATGGTGTTATGGAGACTGATTCAAATGGATGTAGGAGTTTAGGTAAGCATGTTTATAAAGGGTGATTCAAGCTCTACAGCACGGAATATTGGAACTTTTTTTGAATTACTTTCATACTATGTAAGTTATCTCAAGAGTGTTAAAGTATCGCCTGCATATTGCAACATTTTTGGATTCTACAACCAAAATAATGGTATGTGTCCTGGAGTTAATTCCGGTTTTCATCAGTTCGTTGTTTGATCCTAGAGTAGGATAGGTTGCTTGAAGTTTTAACTTAAGCCTAGACAGGGGCTATAGATATAGCTAACTCTTCTACTTTTCAATAGTTAATTGAAAAGTACATGTTGACCAATTAAGGATAGTCCGCACTATCTATAATTATGGTAAAAACTTGTTTTGAAGTTTCTAGAATGGCCGCCAGGGAGCGTAATCGCATTCTTGAATTTTAAACACCGTTTTTTGAGAAATGATCTTATATTACAGGTAGCTAAAATGGACACCGTTTTAAAGTTGGAATAAATTCGGTTCTTTTTCGTTTAATGGTTTTTGCTCTATCTTTTAAGGGAAAGTAGTGACGGGTACTCGAATATTTTCAGAAATAAATGGCAATAACTTCAGAGTGGCCGCAAGCATTTTGTCAAACTTGGAGTTGTTGAAAGTGCTCTTTTTGGGCTATCAACGCTGCATTAAACAAAAAGATTGAGATTAATTTTATTAAATGTATTTTCTTAAAAAAGTGAAGCACCTCCTGGGGAATATTCTAGAAATTTAAAATTGGTTTCCAATTATAAATTTTGTCTCCCCAACTCTGCGACAGTTGCTTATCGAGATAGGACGGTGTACCCTTTATACCTTTTATTAATTAACAAAACAAAGTTCTAATAAAAGATCACAATATTTGATATCTATATCTGCAGTTCAATAAACAATTCTACAAAAGCAAAACCATACTGCTTACAAGAAGAATTATATCCTCACCAACATATGAATAAACTAATTGAACTAAGTTATTCAACTAGATAATACCGAAGTAAGTAAATATTCAATAGATTTCTGAGAGAACATATATCATGCAATGGATAGCTTAAAGCTATATCGGTACGTTTGACTTTCCTTCTTATTTGTAAGGCTATAAAACTAACTTTACCTAAGTAACTCCGGTAACTGAGATTGAATATGCATTGACCATGTTTTTTTTAATACAAAAATCTAAAAAAAAAATATTTTGACGTTTTTCAACTAGGTTTTTATGAACTACCTAATAGGGTATAATGAATAATGCACACTTAGAGTTCTAAAGTATCCCTAACAAATTGTTTATCAGTAATAAAAAGAAAGTTCTTGTCAAAAAATGGCTAGATTCTCCTCCCAACATATTGCTTCTTAGCTAACAAATAACTAGTGTATTGACACTACACAAATTTTGGTTTGTCAAATAGACTATTGAGTCTATTTAACAAACCAAAATTTGTGTAGTTTCGTCAACAATGTACTATGATGTACCCTGTCAAAAAGTTTACTAAAATCTGTAAAAATAGCGTCGAATTGACTAGGTTCTTTAGCTGTGTAGATTCTTTAGGTAAAAACCATGCTACTTTTCACTTAGACTGGAGTTGCTAGTAGCACCAACCAGAGCTACAAGCCTATAGTTTGCACATCATCGTCCTTTGCACTTTTCAATACTGGGCAAACTTTTGTCAGTTGCCACTGAGTAGAATATGTTTGTTTGAAGTATAAGGTCAAATATCACTTTCAGATTTCTTCGGGTTCAGGTTTTTTACTGATATCTATATCACTTATTTCCGGAATATCTAAACATGAGTTAGTGAAAATGATTTTTGCAAAATTAATATCAAAAAAAATTCTGCAAATGCCTCCCCTATGTTTTGACAACTACTTGCCCCCCCATATACCATTGTTTCAGTAGCCGAAACAAAATTAAAATAAATTAGCGACATGTGACCAAAAAGCTTCAGAATTGCTATCAATACTACCCTCTATCTGTTCAAGTTAAACTTTATGTGCATTTTTTATGTCTTGTTTGGTTTTTGATAATATACCTGATTAGTAATTTTTTTTGTATTTTTTACGAAAATCATCTTTAACGTTTTAGGTCTCGTTTTGACGTTTTTTGCAAGAGGAAAGCATTGATTTAAAATGTGTAATATGTATGTAAAATTTGTTCCCAACGAACTTCCCCAAACAGTTGATAAATCATTAAAAAATCAACTTTTTTGAAATTACATTTGCACTCAAAATGTTTCTTTGGCACAAATGTTTTTTGGATAAATTTTAATAGTAAAAAATAGAAAAAGGCGGTGAACGTTTCTTTGTACCAAAGAGAGATCACTTTTTTCGATAAATATCTATTTCAATAATTAGGGACTAAATTATATTACGCAGCATTTATTATGTTCATGTGGTCTAATAGTCTTTATTCAATTAATGTTAACCTCTCTTTATGACCTATCTCAATTACAGGAAATATTGAAGGCATCCGCTAATATTAAAATGTCATTTAAACCCAGTAATTTATTTTCAATATGTTCAAAAACGCATTCATAAGTTTCTAAATTCATGCTATTGGGAATATTCGGTGCATATATGTAAATTTTGTTACAAAAATTTATTTTTACCCATAAATCTTTAACATTATTATTATTGTAACTAAATTGTAACAATTGACAATTACATTCCTTTCTTACAGCTATTAAAATTCCCCCTCCCTGTTACTTTTCAGTTTCAGTCAAAACAATAGCATCTTAATATGAAGCACTCCAACTCAGAATAAATACGTTAATTTTCGAATTTAAACCTGGGAAATAATACATTATTTTACCCAGTTAGGGTCTCATTTATGTAGACTGGGATCCTGTTATATCAGGAAAAGCATCTTGTGCACTGAAGGCCTGTGTTGCTCGCCTAGCTTTTAGAAATTCCTCTTTTTTCCGATTTTTGCATAAAGCGCTTTACACTTCTGGCACTGCCTCTATTTCGACCATATTAAGTTTGGTATATTGATCGTAAAGTTGCAATACTGATTTCGTGATTTTCTTTTATAAGTTTGGCACACCCGCTTTCCAATTGCTCCTTTATTTCCATGCAATTCTTAATTACACTCATTAATTGCACAATGGATCCTTGTTCCAAATTTTTTAGACAAACTTTTTTTGTGCCGTCTCTATGAGATATTTCATTGTAAATTTTACACCTAGTGTCCACACGTGCGCTAACGATTTTTTCTTTACATATTTCACATATTTTCTAAAAAATAACAAAAAATGAACACAGTCAATTGGTACGAGGCAAAAAATTTAACAATACAACAAACAACAAAAATATTCCAGGTACCTTGTTTCCGCGCACGTGCCTATCAACATAAAACCCTATTTGTTTCGTCGCTCTTATTTTATAGGAAGTTCACTGCATTTTCTCGGACTATCGTAACATTTTAACGTCTTTTTTAAGGAGAAATAAAAGACTATGATTCATTAGTGACGGACGTGATAGAGAAATGCTCAGACCACAGAACGCCGGTGGTAGAAAAGAGAAAACTGTTATTGCAGGTCCTTGACCTTATCGAGCGTGGTAAAATCGAAAGCGTCATTGCGAATTTCAAGTAAGGGTCGCGCTCGCCTCTTCAATATTAATTCTTATTTTTAGTTCAACTCGTTTTGCAGAAAATTGCTGCGTATCTCGATGGACCAGCTCAGTTCAACTGACGCCGTTATTTTGGTAACGGTATTAAAAATACTCGCCGCCATCTTTAGCAATCCGGACATGAAGCATGGCTGGGAAAACTTTGTCGAACTTATCACTTTGAAGGTGTTACAGGTCCACAGCGATGAAAGAAGAGAAGTTAGCTGCTTATAAAAGGAAAGTGTAATATTTTATGTAATGTTTGACTTCCAGGTTGTGAAAGAAGCGGAAGCTACTGCATCGGCAATGGCCGTATGCCCCTTCGATACAGTGGTCAACATATTAGCACCGTTAATAAGGACAAGTCCTTATCCACAGGATTTGGGCGCCATCAAAATGCTGACAAAGTTAGTTGAAGCTAATCCCCACCAAATTACTGATGAACACTTGCACCAGATTATGCCTGGTATTCTCAAGGTATGTTAATTTAGTGCTGCTCGGCATTCGCGAATAGTCCACATACGTTCAAGTATAAATTCAATAATAATAAATATTAATAGTAGACAGTCTCTAAACTGGAGATTCTAGACACCAAAATATTGTGATTGGGCTGAATGTGCCTCATATATACATGTACAGATACATACATGGCGTTCCAAGTTTAAATTTTATTCCGAATTTGCTCATTAAAGAAGGAATAATCTTATTATTAATCATAAAAATTGGCAGTTTTAGGTTTTTTGACATTTTACGAATTTCAAACTTACTTGCACGTTGCTACTAGAGGGCGCTAGTTTCACCATATTGTTTACATTAGTTGAATCATCTGTCGAATTATGGTTAGAATATGAAAATCTGAAAGAATGATGTCCAGTTTTCAATTTTTTTTTAATAAATACTTAAAGGTGAAAAGGTACGGGGAACAATAAAAAAACCTATATTTAACAATAACAATTTTGGTAGTAATAATAAAATAAATAAAAATCTTCCAATTAAATATTGGGATTGTCCACCATCATACACCTCAATACATTTTACAATACACTCAAATTGACATGTCATTGATTAGTTTGTGCGCGCGTGACTATTTATTACTTGGTGTGCTTGTGCTTAGTTGGTAATTACAAAATGAGGCGACATAATCGTTTTTTCTGATACTGAGATGCGTGATATGATTTATATGTTGTGTGTTTGCTCAAGCAAATTTTAGTGGACTTGCGAAGATATCTATGCCGAACTTGCCCATGCTCCAAAACCATTACCGTGGATGAAATGGAAAGATTAATTGCTGTTTCAAATACTCTATATTTGATTTCTGAGTGCGGCGACGACGACCATTTACAGAATTTTACGAAAACATACCATCCATATCATTATACTCCTGTTCGGCAGTGATTGCCTCAATATTTACCAGATCGCCTGCAATTTATCTAGTTTTTACAAAATGTACAAATCGAACAACCAAATTTTCTTAATAACATTCTTTATGCCAAGGAAGCAACATTTACAGGACGAAAAATCTCAAATTGGAAAAATAATCATTTGTGAGAAGCTCTCTCTCTCTCATTGGCCCTTTTGAATGGCGAGCCAGTTTAACTGGACTAAACTATTACAAAGTAAAGAAAAAACATTTTAAACGTACTCGTAAATGCACTACTCGCCTTGAGGCAAAATATGTGGTTTATGCTTGACGGAGCGCAAGCACATTTGTTGTCAGTACGCCAATATTTATATGACCAGTTTCCTCGTTGGTACCAACCAACATCGTTATTCCCATATATTATTTTTTATTGCTCCTCGTACCTTTTCATCTTTGAATGATTTATGAGAAAAAAAATTTAAAAAAAATTCTAGAACTTTATAAATGCAAATATTATTGTTGAAATGACCTGTCAATTTTATTTGTGTCAATTGACCGAAATAATTTTAAAATTACAATGAAATTTATGTTTATTTATTTTTATTTTTGTGCGTTACGTCGCCGCCGCGTCGTTCTGATAATCAAATGGAGTGCATATTATTATTGGGATTCCTCAAATCGCCAAGTATCGTATTCGGATATTCCTTGAAAATAGTTATAGGTAAATTGAACATCACAAAAGCATAATAATTTATTATAAAATACATATTAATATTAAATAATGACAGATCTACAATTGCAAGATGTTATATAAAACATTTTAATCGAATTTGACCAGTCAATTAAGAAGTGGTCAGTTGACCGTCAATTGACCACTTCTTAATTGACCAGTCAAATTCGATTAAAATGTTTTAAATAACATCTTGCAATTGTAGATCTGTCATTATCTAATAATAATATGTATTTTATAATAAATTTTTATGCGTTTGTGATGTTCAATTTACCTATAACCCTTTTCAAGGACTATCCGAATATCGTATTCGGATATTCCTTATTGCACTTGACTGTGGATATAAGATATATTTAATAACTCATTGCTTGAGTATTAATTCGCCATATCAAAATAATATACATTAATAAACTGTTTGATAAATACTATATCAAACTATATCCCTGTGTTTAGTTGTTTGCTTTAAACTCCAAAACGGTTCAAAATAGGTATGTTAATAATATTTTTTTAGATGTAGAATGAATCTTTGTTTTCATTCCCGCAATAAAATATATTCACGTTTAAATTTACATTTATGTATTTTTCAAAATGTGCATAATTTTGTAAATACTCTGCATGTTATAACTCACATCCCATGTCATAGTACACTAATACCTCGGTTAGTGACCACCCTTTTAAACGACGATTTGAATATTTGATTCTCCTAGGCCAATCGCTATTGCGGGATTCTACTGATATCTCATTGTCAAGCGTAAACAAAGTTTCAGGTTTTCTACAATTTTCTAAATTTTTTGAAAATATTATTTTTATTTGCAAAATACCTCAAGAGAAAGTTTCAGAATTTTTTATTGCATCTAAAAACGTAGTAACCCACAGTGCATTCCATTAAAAAAAAATTAAAATGATGTTTGGTTGAAGTAGATGTAGCAATTAAAAAATAACTAATAGTGCCTATCTTCTTCCGTTCACCATATAATTCTAATAGGTCATCGAGTTTAGGGATAACTTATTATATTAGGGCGGTTCTCAACTATAAGATATTATCCACTATTAAAAAATCTTGGGAAGTGACGAAAACAACTTTAATTATTAGTCATTTGCCAACTTGATTGTATTTTTATTGTATATACTTTGTATTATTTTTCACTGTATTCACACTATTTATCTTTGCTTTGGTTTCTCAACTGAGACTTATTTTTTTACATTTTAATTTTCAAATAGCCCCAGTGGAGTAGTATAATAGTATGCCCCAGGTCAAACTTTAGGTAATGCTATAGGGACATGTACGGTTATAAAATACTGTACAGATTGCCAGTATAAAATGGAAGTCTTGAAATATACATTTTTTAAACCGTGTAAGGGAGAAATTCCGAAACTGTCATTCCAAATGTAATATTTCCCAAATAAATAACCCTATGTTATTTTATAGAAAATTAATACAATATAAGTTTCCGGCCGTCTAAATCTTTTTTTTTTTTTTAGTTTTGTACGAATTGTATTGGCATTTCAGAATCGACTTGTGATTTTAGGGTACTGATCACAACGAGAGTCCAGTAAGAAAGAGCTCAATATTTTGTATGGTTGCTTTATACTTGGCCGTTGGCGAAGAGAGGTTCTCCCGATACATCAATTTGTTATCCAGCAGCAAAGTAAAGCTGTTGAGGCTGTACATAGGCAGAGCGAAACAAAACAGCAATTCAGTGCCTACCAGTCCGAAAAATTCAAGTAACACCGACAGCACCCTCAACGCACTCGACAGCACGCTTGTCGCACCCCGGTAATTTTTGTGAATCCCATGGTTAAAAGAGTATTGTTATTGTATTATTATTCAAAGTTTCTGTGTATAAGTTAAATTACAACAAATGATGTTCAGATTTTCACAAATTGTTTATTGGTGTATGACATGTGTCAAATACAAATAAATACATACATAATTTGTAAAAAGCTGTACATTGTTTGTTCTAATTTAAATGGAAGTTCATCAAGTCAAAACAAGTCTTATTATACGGGTCCAAAGGTCACTAATTATATAAATCAAATTAGCAAACTCGGAAACTACCGACATGTTGTGCAATTGCAAATTTACCCAAAGAATGGAAAAACAATATTAAACAGTTCAATTTATTTTAGCAACTATCTAAACTAACTGTTATATCCTGATCATTATTTCAAGGAATAAAAGGAAAACGGAAATGAACAGTGGGAGTCAGTTTAAGGATTGTAGAGAAAATTGTGTGTAAAAAAATAATTGAAAACTAAAAAGTGTTCATGAAAACTTTTGTTTAAAGTTATAAACAACTTTAAAGACTCTCAGTCGCTTTAAAATCTGAGAAGTCTGAGACTCAATGTATTTTGGCAAAGACCTACATGTTTTTTATTTGTCCCACGATTTTGCCCCAGCTCATATTATATTGGTATAGTTAATATAATCTCATAACTATGTTCTCGCATCTATAGCATAAATTATAGTTTTTTAATGGATTTTGTCATTGAAAGGAGTTCCCATTTCAGCATATTTGGTAAAGAAGTGTGATTCTGTTGTTCAAGCCACTAATAAATGTGAGTTTTCTGCCAAGGCGAACTGGGTTAAATTAGAACAAAAAATGTTCAGTATTTCACAGTTTTTAATGATCAAATCAAAAATCAAATGTATTTGGATTTGGAGAAATGGATTTTCATCAAGTAAAAGCCACCTCAGTCCAATTATGAACTGGGTTATTTCTTTAAAATTCTTGAAAGATTGCAGTATTTCAGAAGGCGCTTTACAATACAATTAATGATGAAGCATCCAAATTTGTTATCAGTTTTTCTTTTAGCTGTTTTTCATTTAACAGTTGATATTTTCACATTAGTCCAAAATTTTTGATGTGGAATAAAAAATTAAATTTGCACCTGAAATAAATTTTGTTCAACAACCAGCATGCAAAATAATGAACTATTTTTCCATGCCACACTTCCTTGGTCAAAATTTTGAACCACTTCCATTGGAAAGTATTCATGTTTCATCTGAAACTACCATTTTAATACACTTTTATATCTAATTTTTACTATATTTCTTTAAAAATTGAACACGTTCTCACTATCTCTGGCTGTTCACATAAAAATCTTCGGTTAGCAAAACACTTAAGTTTTTTAAAGTTTTGTTTCAAAAGTTGAAGTGTTACATCGGTTTTTGATCTATATAAATCATAATTCACATTCCGAACTTCCATTATCACATCTCCCTTTAAATCTTCAATTTTTGGTTTTCTTCATTTACATTTTTTAATCTTCTTATATTATATTGTGCCTTTTTCGTACACAATTTAATGCACCGTCTGTAAACTGATTCCCAGTGCTTTCGCTCCTATTTCCTAGATAATGGTTGCCGATTTTCCACGTTCTCTGTCATTTTCAAAATAGTATTAAATATTAAGCCATTGCTTTTGACTTGGGGCCCAAAAAAACAAAAAAAAAAAAATTTCGATGGTGCAATTAAACAAGGTAAAGGAAAAACTCTCGTGAAAGTTTGTCTCGCTAATAAATTGTAAGACCCGCTGGATAGGACAGGTTGTGACTATATCTTTGTGATGAAGTTTCAGTAATGTTTATATTGTTCTTTTTAAAAACCTAAGTGTAAGGTCAAAACTAATTTATTACTGTTATAGCGATCTATTTTGTTCATTTTTCTTAAATTATTTTAAGTGTTACTGTAAATATTTTCTTACAATGTAATTAACCATAATACATGTATGACCATGGCTTAATATTAATTGCTTAGTGTTTGTTTTCTTACCATGTCGCGTTCTATCAGATTCCCGGTTGTATTTCTGTTACATAAAAGTCTATATCTCAAAATGATTGGAGTCAACTGTGGTATTATACATAAGCTATTTACTTTATTGACGGTTTTTAAGCTTCCAATTTAAAACAGAATTTTTTCTTTGATTTTTTTGAAACTTGCATTTATACCCAATAATGGAAATTAAAGATTTTTTTGATAAAATAATCCACGTTTTTTAATTCAATATGTTATTCTGTGCAAAAATAACTTTTTAAGGTTGAACATGCTTTTAAATTTTAGGGAATGGAAATATTGTCGGCGAATTATTCTTGAAAAATTTTTGATAAAACAGAAAGTTATTTATTTATTTAGTTAGTTACACATTGGTTTCTTTTGTCTTTTGTGCTTATCTGCAATACTTTTGTTACTGAATTAATATCTAGTCAAAAATTGTGATAATAATAATGATAATGCTTCAATGCAGATTGAGATTGCAAGAGATGTGCTTATTAAAATGGATACCCTTCACTTCTCGAAAAGGAAATAGCAATAAAACTTGTTGAGTGGTAGTCAGTGGTTGTCAAAAAATCTATCAATAAAAGAACGGTTTCATATTACATTTACATATCACTTGATCATAAATGTTTTTTCAAGCCGTAAATCAAATGACTTTGAATGCAGTTGAACTTTTATTTGCTGTCTAGTTCCTCTTCTCTCTTTTTCGGAGGTCTTCTTTAAAGTGCCTTCTGAAATACTGCAAGCAGCACAGGCCCGTTTTTGCACTTTCAAGACTGGCTTTAACGGACCAACCTTTGAATGTTGAACTTTTAATACCAAATGATACATTTTCTAAGACTATAACTTAACGTTGTATTAAATATTAGTATGTGATTTCATTGATGGTTAATATAAGAAATGATTTAAACAAATTGTAAAAGTGATAACGGAAATTTTTAAGAATTAATTAAAATGTACAAAATTAGAAGTGTTGTAGGTACCTAGCTATTTTCAGAGGTGCTACGTTATTTATCTAACTCTACAATAATAAGTAGTACAGCCTAGTAATTATCGCGATATACTTTAATAAATTCAGGAAAAAAAATTGCCTAAAATTTCCACATAGCGACCAACACTTTCTGCTTGGCAACTAAATAAAACTCTTATTTGTTTTGGATGCACTGGTCTCACTAAACAGCATCCTGCGGACCAGTGCAATTTTGGTGAAATGTAGTGAAAGCGAAGGTATACTTAGTATATTTAGCCAACTCCCTATTGAGGGTTTTAATCCCATACCAGTCATCATAGAACGGGTGGAATTTACATTTATTACACCACTATTTTTAGTTTTAATTTTTTTAAAATAATAGGTGAAACCATAAAGCTGCTCAAGATATTGCGGCCATGTCTATGCCGATAAAACGTGAAGCTATGAAGCAACTATGATGACATTTTAAAAAAAAAAGTAAGTTTTAAACAATGGCCTTGGGACCTTCAACAATCAGTATGGCCGCTGACAAGTCGCCATATGAGTTTTATAATTTTATTTAATAACACTACCATATTCATGCGTAAAACCTTACAGTTATTAGATAATATAGTGGCACAACCACAGTAAAAAGTGATAAGCAGGAGGTAGAAAACGTATTGATTTTCTGCGAATGCGTGTACATTTCACCCACTAAATGCACTTTGCGCCATTTTTTTGCTAAACACCGATATCCACACACTTAACTCAAAAGGAGTTGAGACTAAACCCACGGAGTGGAGGTCAACAGAAAAAGGAAAATAAATGCCGTTGTTAAGGTTACGTGTTCGTTTATGAGTTGATTTAGGTATTTGATAATGAAAAGGTGACTAAAGTAACTGTATTTGCGAAAACGGCTATATAATCTACCATTATTATGATGACCATTTATTCAAAACGGAACATTGATTTATTTAGGTCAAATCGTAGACGGTCAATGAAAAAAACACTTAAAGTTATTTATTCAGAAAAAGTTGGTTTAATAGTTGCAAATCACAAAATATAGGTTCCCAAAGTATTAGTTATATTTATATTGTTTATCGGAGGAACAGATTTGTTCCAATATAGCTAGTGATGATTTAAAGTAAGAGTGCACGTTTTTTATATTCGTTTTAATTACCAGCATCGCCTTTAGAATTGAAATTTGTAACTAGGTTTTCTCATATGTCCACAATTTGTTCATACTTTATATTGGCGCATTTGGTTTTTTACCTCTTTGTCGCAGTTATGTAAGGCAGAATATTATCACAAAAAAGTACGTCAAAATACAAAAATTCGAACTCGTGGGCATAAGACTTGCAATAGCCAAGAGAAAAAAGAGATCACAGAAACGTGTATATTTTATGTTAAAGAAGTAATACAGTAGTAAATTTAAAATCTTGCATCTTTGTATTCCAGCTTGGCACTGAAATTACAAAAAATGACATATTCAATATAAATCTGAAAAAATGATTACTAGAATGACTAGATTTTTAGATTTGAAAGGAAAGGTATAACAGTAGAAAAAAATATAGAAAAGGTAACAACTATTTTAAGTATAGTTTCAGAATGACTGCCTGAAAAAAGAATGCCCTAAACATTCTTAAAAACCAATTATTATATAAGTTAACGGCAAATCTCAGTTAGGATACTCTTGGAAAACATCCTCGTTCTGCAGCCTTTTATTTTCAGTATCTGCTCATGCCCCCAATGTTTTTAGAAACTCTGAAATGTGATCTTACTTCGCCCAAAATAAAATAAAATTTTTAACATACCTTTCCATAACCTCTATGTGAATTTCTAGACTATTTTTACCTATTCGACATACTTGTATTACATTTTAAACAATAAGATAATGTAAATCAATTAAATTGAATATTTATCTCCTCTTTCATCTATATTTGATAATATAATCGAAACGCAACCAGATATATCTCTACCCTAATGTAATGACTCATACTTTAGCGTTGCGCGCCTTTGTGATGTATGTGTTGATGAAATACATTTTTTAAAATGTTAAACATGAATTATGCAATAAACTACCTGACATTACTTTGTGAAAATTCAAAGTCACAATCTAAAATTGAACAGAATCATCTCTTAAAGCAACCAAATAAATCTAGGCATACATTATTTGGAGGGAAGATTAGAATAACATTTTAAAATTAAAACAAAAGTAGTATTTTAATTCATTATAGTTTACTGAATTGCAATCACAAAATATTAAAATATTTAGCAAAACCTTAAACAAGAGGGGAAAAATATTAATAGCCTTGTATCAAGTGGGCCAGGTTCCAGTCTTCTTTAACCTTCAAGGGTCCTTCAATTGTAACACCTTGTTCAGAGTCAATTGTACCAATCTGATATTTTGAGAAACTTCTTGCATCTCTATAATATAATACTTCCATGCATTTTTCCAAAAGGGCTTTTGCATCTAATAAGTTAAGTTGTGGTTTCTTATCCAATGCATCGCGAAGTAAAGGAGTAGCAATATGGGCACCATATCCTGTGCAGATCACTTTGTCGGTATATGCTGTTCCTAGTTTGTCAACTGTTCCTAGAAAGGGCCTTCCATCCTGTGACAAAGGATAATGAATGTTTGCATTGATGTTGTCAGAAGAACAGTTAATTCTTTGAGAATCTTGTAGAAAAGTTGCTTAATATGAGAAACTTAATGAAAAACAAAATCAAAATAAAAATAAAAGTCTGTAAAACTGTTGCACCATTCCAAGACAATAACATACCTCGATTCCAGCAACAATAAAGTTGTTCCATAGGGGATCCATTTTACTCCTGCGATTGTACAAGATACGCGTTAACCAACAATACAGTGATTTAGGTTTCAGCGATAGACCATCATCCAAACATTCTTCATCAACACTATAAACAAAAACAATGTATACAAATTCTGAGATATGGAAAGAAGTGTTTATAAAAGGCTACCCACATTTTCTGTTCAACAAAGTCTTTTACATATTGAAAATCGGCGTAATCACCACTGGCACCTAATATGATATTGTTGTTGATTTTGCATATCCTAGGACAATTTCTATATCGAGCAAGAGATCCATAGGACGCTAAAAGATCTCCGGCGACTACCACACCTTTGTCATAAACGATGGCTACTAGTGAAGTGGACGTTGTCACTGGAGCTCTATTATAAAAATAGGAATACTAATATGGTTGTATAAAAATGTACATAAACACTAATGTTGAAAACTTACTGGGAATGCTGTCGAACATCACTTGGTTTTGGCGAAACCGCTGGAAAATTATAAAATTCTCCTGGAGCGGGTCCATTGTGCCAAAATGGTGGAGCACTTTGAAACATTTTATCAAATTTATATAAATTTAACTCTCTGCAGATTTATACCAAACAGCATACCCAAATAGCTAACACTGACAGTGACTCTGCTATATTTTTTAACAAACTCACCATTCCTGTTCAAAGGAGTTCCTCTTCTTTTAATACTCAGAACATATTCAACAATATTTATATTGCCACATTTTATTGACCATAGAATGGAGAATGGAGTAAGCCTTCTTCTTCTTGGTAACCAGAGTATATTTTTAGGACATTGAGAGTATATTTTTGGACATTATTATATAATTAGGATATACACTCATTTAACAATTTTTCACGCAAACAGCACCCAAGGCACCATTTGGGAATCGAACCCACAATATACGGCAAGTCGAGTTGGCAGGTGTAATGCCTTACCAACCGAGCCATCCACTGTCCAAACTGGGGTATATATATTTTTTATTATTTGTTATATTATATTTATATATTTCGCAGTAATCCTGCAGTTTTCTTAATCCAGTAAATTTTCCGTCTTCAGATTGCGACATCACCTTTTAGCTATTACCTTTAAACCATTTAATAAAGACAGGGTGTTGTCGAAACAATTGTCATGTCATAATATATGATTTCGTGAAAATCCGAACTTTTAGTTCTTATTTATTTTGAACCATAGAAATCTTCCATTTCATAATGTTATTTAATTCCTGTTCCTGCTAGGACGTTTGTCCACAAACGATACAGAATTTGAGCTTTAACCAGTATTCAGAGGTTCACAGGATTCATAACACGTGTAATAAACTAAATACAGCTAAGATATAAACACGAGTGAGCACTAATAAGTGCAACGACTATAGGCACTAATGAAAGACTCAAAAAGTTTATTAATTACTCAAATACAATAAGAATACAATAACGAGAAAACGTTTTTGCACTGCGATCAGATACGAAAGGTTATTTTATTTTAAAAATTGTTACCAGTTATCTACATCTCTGCTACCTAAGTAATAGAATTTGGTTGATATTTGTCAGTGGATATCCAAACTGAAAAAAAAATTTCTTCCCTATATATTTCACAAATGATGAGAATAAGGCCCCAAGTTTATTTGATAGAACAAGAATATTGTGAAATAACTTTGTTAAACTTAAGATAAAATAGATCTGCATATTGATTCAGTCGGCGGAGATGTTGCAGGGCTTCTAGAAATTCATTTACAAATTAATTCATTTCTTCTTTTAGAAAATACAAACATTTGGTGCCCCTTTTCAACATTTATCGTAGAAAATTACAAAAATTCGTGATCTTCAAATTAGTTAAGTTATTAAATTTAGTGACTTTTTACCAGCCATATATAAAATAAATGTTTTGTATTAATGTTTCATTTAATTAGTAATTACTAATAAAGTGAAAAAATTAAGCGCCCAACGTGGGGCTCGAACCCACGACCCTGAGATTAAGAGTCTCATGCTCTACCGACTGAGCTAGCCGGGCTTGTGCAGAAATAAGTAAGATAATCCATTAACTCTGACTGTTGACAAATGTACCTTTGTACCTATATATTAACATTATAACTTCATATATTTTTAATCGTAATGAGAGCTCGTTATGGGTTCTAATTTTACAGATATCCCGCAATAATAATATCTGTATTTGAGCAGAAGTGATTGTGGACAACAACAAGAGTTTTACTAAATTTTACTAGTTAGCACCAAATAGACATAAATATAACACTTTTTTATTGCCACTTTAAAACAGGTATTATTAGGTTTTAACAAACTAAATTCATCCATTGTTCCATCAGTTCTTGGTTAAATTAACACGCCACTGTGCAGGTCCCGTAAGAACTGTAATTGTTCGGTAACGCTATGTTCGTTCGGCGAATTGTTGGTTTGATGTGTGAGAGTGGAACTGCTTAGTAAATCGCGGTGCTGTCGTTCAAAAACTGTGACTAAATAAACTCGATTGAACGCTTTATTTTAGTTCGGACAGGTAAGTGACGAGATGGTGAAATAATTGTGTTATACCTTTATTCAAAATTAATACATGCATTTATAGCAAGTTATGGTACGGTAGGAGACGAGTAAGTGCGGTAGAGTTAAAAATGATTTCAATATGCCAGAAGAAATAATTTGATTGCAAATCTTTACTTAAGTGAAAACTTGAACATGTATTTCATAGGGACAACTTATGGTTGGTAAAAAAATTGAATTTGAAATGTCGGATAAATAATAGAAAACAATCTTTTGTATTAAAAAAAACTCACCTTTTTAATGAAAATGTGATACTGGAGTCGCTATGTAGTATGTGTATGTAATATGCAGCGGGTTTAAGGTTACAAGGGCTTACTCCGTATCTCTCTTGAGCTTTTTTCGATATGCATATAAATATAATAAAAATATGAAAATTCGTTTCTTTTTTTTATATGGTACTGAAAGTTGATTTTAGTGAGAGTTCTGCTTTCTTAACCTTAAGCAGATAACGCCCAAATCACTAACAATAAATATATTATTTTTAATTATTTTCTAGTCGGATAAAAGTCCATTTATTCATACAGATTTTAAAAAGTGCCTTTGTTTTGGTTTCAACTAAACTTGACGCCAGGTTGCTAATAACTGGCAGAAATTCAAAAGAACGTTGAGAAGGACACGTTTGGTTTTTGTCTTATTGATTCCCGATTCATAAACACCAACTGGGAATTTTCAGCAGCAAGCAAGCACGAAAATAATTAATAAACTTCTATGCATATTTTAATACACCAAAGCAGTTTCGTTACAATTGCAATTAATTAAATCTATCCAGTTAAAGGCGGCAATTTCGCGAGAGCTTTAAAATAGCAATTTAAAAGCGAACGTATAACAATTACATCAATCCATCATTCGTAAATTAGAAATTGAATGAATTCTCGCAATTAAAACGAGAAACGAACTTTCATCATTGTGAAAATGTTACGGTTTTACATGCCAATCTTCCGACAAGTCGGTAAATTTATGTGGAAGTCTATTCGAGATTTCGTTTCACTTGCTTAGATGCCATTTATAGGCGCGCAATAGCGATGGGTTTGTTTATAATTTGTTTGTCGCACTCAATGATAAAACAAAGCAATATTCAAATTGACCCGAAAAAAAAAATTACATTGATTGATTTAACTATTTCTTTAATGTCGGAAAGAGATAAAGTGTATCTCAAAGAATATCGTGTTGCCTTGTGACAAACCGTACCCCAATTAACCGCTGACCATTTTATTTCCTATTGTTGTCACATACACCCATCAACAAATAATTCATTGAGTGACATGGCATGGCATGGGCCAGGAAGAATCCCTCTCTAATGTTTTATCTTTTACTAGCTACCAGCCCGTCTGCGTCGGTATCTAACTCGATACACTTTGGGTCAAACTATACGGATATACTTTAAGCGAAAATATACCAAATGTAGCACGAAAGTTTAACAATGAATAACTTTTTTTTTAATACACCCCAATATTTTTTTTCATAAATATTTAATTTCCCTTTTTCCTATGTTAAGTTTTCGAGTTTTAAGTTTTTTGCAAATCTGAATAAATATTACTTTGTTTGCGAATCAATAAATAATCAATCGATTTTTTATACAAGAACTCTTAGTCTTTAATTTCGTATGTCACCTAATTTAAAATTTAGTTATCAGACTAATATTTGTTTTGTCTTGTTGCTTTATTGCTTTAAAAATTGTCCATGGGTAAGGTCAAACATACAAATCAGGATGTCAGGATCTCGATTGCCAAAGAAAAAACTCTTAAAAGCATTCGAAGTTTAATTCACTGTTTCAAATACACTGTTGTAATATATGTGTAACTTTTCACGGAAACCTTATAGTTATTGTTTATTTTGTATAATTGAGGACGGCAATTTGAGAAATGTTGGATTATTCTAATTGCACATTGACCCACACGCGGGTATGTACCATCGCATATTATACAACGGTTGACCTTGAAAATGGCAGGCAATGGCCTCTATGTAATGTTTACTTCAGTGGCGCAAGTTACAGGAAAGCGTTATATTTTTTAGTAATAAAACTGTTACGTGTGGATACTCTTTGAATAGTTTAATAATTTTTTTGGTCATTTCTTTAAATTTTATTTATTTTGACACTCTTCATTTATTTAAATTTCGCGGTACGTTTTAAGGTCTATACGCAAGTGCAAAGTGCCAATTTGGTTTCTGTTTTTTGGCTTCGGTCTTTCGGTACTCGGTAGAACGTTGTGGCTCTTTACTCTCTCGGTTGTTTTGATAGAGTTTTATTTACTGACTATATAATTAATAATTATCTGTTAGTGACAACTTACAGTGCTCTAATCTTCTCAGCCGGTCGGTTTCCCTAATAATACGAGACTATCAGTGGGATCAAACACATACTAAGGTATGGCTTCAATTTTTCGATTTCGTACAAATGATATAGTCCACTTCTCTCCTCAATCTGGCTATTATCAAGTTCGCTAAGTTAAGATGTTGGGGTAGGTAACCGTAGAAATAACCCCATGATTAGAAAAAGTATTATCATAAATATTTTTCAAATGGAGAAAATTAGCACTTTGGAGGTCAGCCGTCCTTTCACATTTCAGCAGCATTTTTCTTCAAGTTTAATTGCGAATAACTTTTTTGAAATAACTTTACAAGAAAACATCTACTGGGTTGTGTGTTAGTTACATTAGTTACATTCCAAAATGAAAAAGTTAAACCAAAAAAAACTTATTGATGTTTATTTCTACGAAACGGCTGGTCTGATTTCTCCATAGAGTATTTAATTTCCTACAAAAATATATTCAAATAAATATTTTTAGATAGACCTTTTCCCATTAATATTAAGGGCGTAAAGTTTCAACTCTTTCGTCATTCAAAATGACTTTATCGATATAAATTTCATAAAACAATAAACGACAATCGACCTAGTCTGCGCCATGTAGTCGTCAAAGTCTTTTTTGGGTCACTTTGATATAGGCACAATGCTACTTTTTGGTGGACCTAACTGAAATAGGCAAATTTTCAGTTGGGCCACTCTGCTTCTAAATGATTCAATTTTTAATTAAAACCAACTCTCTCTTCACCTGACAAAATTGTCTGATAGAGTTACTTGCACGTCTTTACAGCCTGTCCTCGCGCTCCTTTTGCGCGAGTATATCAAACATATTGGTCATTATAAGCCATTGATCCCGACTCTCTAATGCGTTGTCTACTGTTACTGATGGCAATTGTTTGTTTTTCTGCGGAGTTTCTATGCCTGAGCCATTTGTTGCAGTGAACAGGTGTATCGTCTGGGTCGTCCCTTACTTTGCATGCTTCTCGTATGTCGTCTCCATCTTTTTTTATCTTTAGTGTGCACACTCGGAACGACTCCTGGGAGAGCCTTGGTCATATAGTAGTTCACAGTTGTACTATTTCTCAATGTCTGGAATTAATCTCTTCGTCCACTGTGCAGTCTTATGATGCATGTACCATTCTTCTTGTTTCTTGCCAAGGGAGCATTCTCTTTCTCTTTGTTTGTCCTCTGGTCGGATCTCTGTTCCCAGTTTATGTGTTTATGTATCAAAGCTTCTAAGGAGAGCTTTTTGTACGCGCTAACTACTAATGGAATGTACCACTCCTACTGGTAATACCATCTTTTTGTTATTGGGCCCTTTTAAATTCGGCATAATCTTCTGTAGAGCATTGAGTAGTTGCTCCGCCTTTCTTACTACCACCTTCCTACTCGGATCAATTATATACTGAGTTATATAATTTTAATTTGTTAGCGAGACGCCACTGGCGATATCTTTAAAACGTTTTGTACCGCTACGTCCACATGGCGATACGACGTCATGAGTAGGCCTTTCTATCTACAAGTGCACACACTTTTCTTGGTGGCCTGCGATTTATGTAAATACATATTCGTATAGCTGGAGTAACAGTACTGACTTGTTCAATGAATTTGTGTGTCACGTTGTCGTGGAACCTCATTATTCAAGGACTCCGTGATCGGAACGGCACGACAACGACTGTCCTTGGTATTATTTAATCATCAACCGGTTGAGTTGTACCGGGTGATCCCCTATAATGTCGTCATCCTTTAAACTTTTTATTTTAAATATAAAAAAAAAGTATCCAACTAATAAGTATTGTTTTATAATGGTAACGGTTACGTTTCGATTACCTATTTTATAATAATAAAAATCTTTATTTTCCAAATCGACAAATACAATGTTTGTATAGGAAATTGTCAAAAATAAATAAAATAAATTGAGGCATAATCCAAGATTACAAACAGTAATCTATAAACAAAGAATTAAAAACACTAACTAAAGTAGTACTCTTCTATTGAGTACAGGCATTTAATTACAAGATATTAATTTAACATTTTTTTTAAATGCACACAAATTGTCGCATATAAAACCTGAGAATCTATGAATTATTCACCGAAACGCTTACTCTTTAAAAACGCTATGGCGCCTAAACGGAGACTCTTACAAAGGTAACCCCATAGTCGCATATAAAGCTTTTATTCTTATATCTTCAGTGTTGATAAATATCAAACCAAAAACGCCCCCTTTTTGTTTCACGTTTTTCTGTAGCATTTGTTTACAATATATTTTATTTGGTATCCTTTTCATTGTAATGGAAGTGTCCTCTCATTTTAAAACGTAATTTTAGGAAAAACCGGAAAGGCGATGTTGTTCCCTTTTTATGAACGCCGTTGACGAGTACACAAAAATGAAAAGGACAACCGAAAAAACTATTAGTGCGCAAATATCAAATGTTACTTTTACAAACATAACCTCACTTTTCAGTTGATTATTTATTTGTCCTTGAAATAAGTGCGCTTAGCTTTTATTTGAAAATACCTACATAACGATCAGAATTAAATTAAAAATGTCTTTTAAAATTCTGCAAATTGAAAATCCATTCCTGTCAACTTTAGAACAAAAGCAAAAGACAATGACATGGACGCGAAATAAAATACATTGTAAACCCTGGTTTGATAGAGATAACGTTACGTAACCTATTTATGGTTTATAAAGAAAATGGCAAATTTCTTAGCTACAAGTATATGGTTAGTTTTATATGGGATTAAAATTTGGTCAACGTTACTTTTATAAGATGCAGTACAAGTGCTATAGCGATTTTATAAAAGTAACGAACACGAATAGTAGATAGATTCTCAGGCTTGATAAAGTTTAAAAAAATGTAAACCTTGGCCTTAAAATAAACGTAAATATAAATAAAAGGTTTAGGGTGGTTTCGATGTAGGATATTGCAAAATATCAACTTTAATACTGTTACAAAAACTCTGCGTTTGTCTTTGTTTTCCACTCCGTTCCATAGTTCCATAGCATCGATAGTCTTTGAACAGAATGATCAGATTGTATAATAAACATGATATTGACCCATTTGTTGGCAGTCTTTTAAAAATGTTTTTAATCAATCATTTTTTTACTAACATTTGCCTTCAAAACAAAATTAAAGAATAATAAATAAAAAACATTCAAAACTATCAAATAGAGCAACAATGCATAAATGTAGTGTACAACTAGTTTGCCAAGGACACTATTTCGAAAAGTAATTGTCGTAAAAACAAAGACTTGTGATGAAAAATCTTAAGCGTTATTTCCTGAAATGTTAGAATTTCTACAGAAGTTGTACTCTCTCTGTTAGTATATTTGGTCATCATGTATATAAATTAAACAGTTTAAAATTGTATATTTAATGATTTTAAATTGGTTATTACCGTTAATTTAATAAATGAGGAGACCCTGTGACAGACTTTATTATTATGAAATAATTATTTATTAGGAGATTTTTTTGTTTTTTCAGGTCCAAATGTAGTCACGATGTCCATATTAGAATCGAGCGTCCTAGCGTATGTTCTGGCAGTATTTGCCGTCCCTACGTGGTCAGCGTATCCTACCAAACTGAAATACCCTCATCCAGTGACGACGAATAAAATAACTGGGGTAAATTTAAGCTGCGATTCTAAACGCATGAACATTACATTAACCACGAAGCAACCGTTTCGAGGAATTGCTTTTGCGAAAGATTTCGCTCAGGAGTGCAAGTCCTTTGGTAAGTGAACGAACTTTGTGAAGTGACATTATTATTATTTTGCTCGTAAATATCTCTGTACTTAGGTTCGTCAGCTAATAAAATATCACTTAGTTTGTCGACGTCCAGTTGCGGCGTAAGGCTAACTACCAGCACGGATGAAAATGGCGCATCGCGAATGGTATATTCAGTGGGTTTGATTATACAACAGGATAAACTGCTTCGACAAATAACTGATCAAGAAAAATCGGTGCAGTGCCTTCTGGAAGATGAAGCTTTCGTGGTAAAAAGTCAGCCCATGTTTATTGCCCTCAAAAAAGATGCCAAATCGAAAAATGTCCATCATAGGTAAGTTCGAAAAATTCTTAAATTACATATTATCATTAATTAAGAAATTAATTATTTTTCTAATATTTGGTAACTGAAATTCTTGTTCATCGTCCAATAATGTTTCCGATTATTTCAGAGTGAATGTTTTGGTGTTTTTTTTTAGCAAAAAATGTGGTATATTTCAATTGTTAATGGAGCAAATTATGAATATTAGAAAACTAAGATACAAAAAATATTATTTGGTTCAATATTCCTCAATTCTATATTTTATTTACCACTTTTGGGTGCTCATTATAGTAGCCAAAGTCACCGAATGTTAAATATAGTATATTATGCAACAAGGATTTTGAGTCACAAGTTTGTCAGGAACGGAGCGCAGCGAAGCGATTGTTTAATAAACGAGTGACTTGAAAAGTTTACGAAACGTGTTGCATACCATACGTTTTCTACCACCGTTAGGTTTTGGGTACATTTTTGCAAAACAACACGAAAACTTCCGATTGCTCCTAAACCCGTGCGGTAATATATTTCGGAAATGTCCGATGGGGCTTGGATCCGTGGGACAAGAAATTCACGTGGTAAAGTGACGTTTCTCGCACGCTAGATCGCTAGATAATTAGTTATTTTACAGAAAGAGTAAAAAATAGTATATTATGTAACAAGTGCGGTAAACGGCATTTGACTCACGAGTTTGTAATAAAAGAGTGAGTTCAAAAGTTTACCGAACGTGTTGCATACTACACTTTTTCTACGACCGTTAGTTTTTGGGTTCATGTTCGCAAAACAACACAAATACATTCCATGTCATGACCGTCATAATTGGCAAACGTCAAAATTAAAAGCGTGGGAAATATCTCCGAAAACATGCGATTGCTCTCAAATCCGGAGTAGAAAAATACTTCTACGTCTACTCCCGTCTGTAAAATGCCTAATTGCACACCGATCTAGCGTGCGGGAAGCGTCACTTTACCACTTCAGTTTCGTTTTCGCGGGTTTGGGAGCAATGGGATGTTTTCTGTGATATTTCCCATGCATTGAATTTTGACGTTTGTCAATTCTGACGGTCATGTCAGTGAATGTATTCCTGTTGTTTTGCGAAAAGGTTCTCAAAAACTAACGGTCGTGGAAAAAGTATAGTATGCAATACGTTCGGTAAACTTTTTAAGTCACTCGTAAGTCAAATGCTGTTTACCGCAGTTGTTGCATAATATACTATTATTCATTTTGGTTAATCGTATTCCATCACTGTTTATTATAGACAATTATAGAAATTAATATTGGTGATTGTTACGAAGATTGTTTAAACTTTAAGGTTTGTAATTAAATTGCAGGAAGGTATTCATAATTCTTGCGACGTGAAAAACACTAAATCCCAAATCCTCTCAATTTTTTAAAGATAAATGGCGTTATACACTTTTATAGAATTTTATATTGTCTATTTACTTTTACAGTATCTCGCGAATTTATTAATTTCCAATTAAATGTTTTTTTTTTTTTAAAGAATGTTCTCTATGCCATTCGCGGCGGATTGTTGACAAATTGGTGGTGGATTTATCGCTTGCAGATATTTGCATAGCATTTGAACTTCTGCTGGGAAACACCCGGCATATAACACACCGGCATTTAATTTTATTTTTATGACTTTTTTGTTTATTTTATAGAGAAGGAAAAAAATGTTTGATTGCAAGTCTCTTAATATCTCTCGTAATACCTCAACTAGGTTTATGCGGTGACACCACTGGAGTTAACAGTTTTGATTTCAGGTTTATATCATCACTTAAATCAGCACTTAACTAAAAAAACAAAAAGAAGGCTAATATACCGGGTGACACAAGAAAGTGGGAACACTATAACTTTTAAACGGCTTGAGATAGCAATTTGAAATTTTTAAGGGTTAGTATAGCCTATACTAACCCTTAAAAATTTCAATGTCCAATTTATTTCCAAATGAAAATCTGAACGTTTAGTTCTTATTTATTTTCTTTTTTTTGTGTTTTTTAAAATTTTTTTTTAGTTTTTGAAAATTGTGTCTAGGAGGCTATGCTATTTGCCGGGTCACCTGATCACTGGAAAAATTGTAAATGAAACTTTTCTTTACTTGGCAAATAGCATTTAAGTTAATGAACTAATATTTTCTTAGGATAACCTATTTTTTTTTCAAATAGCACCCTAGTGGAAACAAAAAACTTTTTAAAACCGGTACCTTTTTTGCAACATTTTGACACCAAAATTTTCAAAATCCGTTAAAAATTAAGTTCACAGGAAGGAAAAAACCATATAAGTAAATACATTTTTATAAAAACAAAACATTACGTAGGTGCTTTGCTTCTATTCATTATTAATTGTCAAGTCGGTAAGACTAAAAATGCAGAATGCAGTGGAAAGAAAAAAATAGATTTGTATTTAAAAAAAATAAAATTCAAGGGAGAGTTTCTTCTGAGATGCGATTAGAATTTTTTGGTGAACTTGATATACTTTTGGAATACGGGGATACAGTAAAAAACTATGGTAAGTATTGTATGTATACGTACGTCATAAGTTACAAGCACTTTTTACCGGAAACTCAAAACAACAAGAGAATAGAAATATTTTTTTTCTTTTCAAATCTGTCATTTTTTGGGATAATTCAGCACAATATTATGAAAATCTGTTAGACAATAAAACCTCAACAATGTCGGTAAAATCGATTTGAAAGTGGCATATTAACGTATGTTACTGTAAGATAAGTTTTACATTGACGTAAAACATCACATACATTTGAATATTTGAAATAAATAAGTGCCCATTTATTTTCAGATGAAACTTTCATAGAATGTTTTCAAAATGTCCTCCTTCTTGTTTATGACACTTCATGACTCTAGAAATTACATTCGCTGTCACACTTCCTAACATTTCTGAAGTTATACTATCAAATGCAGCCAATATTTTTCGCTGCAATCCTTGTAATTCGAACACTGGAGTTGCATAAACACGGCCTTTAAAGTCCGGCAACCTTGGGGGCCAATTGACTGGACTGTGTGTTGAGATTAGTCTATCTCCATAAACATCTCGTAGGTGTTCAGTGACATCTGGGCAGGCGCGTCATCCTGCTGAAAATACATATTTAACATCATGGTAAGAGGTAAATCATCTAACGAGTCTTCAATTTCATTTCTTAGGAATGGTAAATATCGTGCACTAGTTAAGGTAACATGTAATTCGAATTCCTATTACTCCTGCGCAAACATTGATTCCGAACTGTTTTTGAAACTGTCCGGGACGAATAATTCTTTGATTATTTAATGACCAGTATCTGTTGTTCTGTCGGTTAAACATAGCATTATTTGAGAATCGCGACTCATCAGTGAACAAAATTAAGTTAATTAATTATCATTCTAATGTTTATCTAACACATTACAATATCGAAGTCTTCTTACAAAGTCAGCTTCATAAAGATGTTGATGAAGGTTATACTTAAAAGACTGATAGCCGTGTTTTTCTAAAATTTTCCTCACAGATTCTCTTGAGATGTCTAATTCTAACGCCACTTCTCTTAGCGACGCAGCTGGATTTGTGTTGACGTATCCCACAGCATTGATTTCCAATTCTTCACTTATAATAAAATTGTCAGGGGTCGATTATTTTGTACGTAGAATAATCTCCTGAATCCAAAATTAAAAAAAAATGGGTTGTGCCATTTAAAATTCCAAAGTTACTGTCGTTTCCGCTCAAACCGCTACATATTGTCAAAAATTGGATATTCAGCCTATATTAACCTTTCAAAATTTCAAATAGCTATCTCAAGCCATTTAAAAGTTGTAGAGTGTTCCCACTTTCTTGGGTCAGTGCGTATAGCATCAAATTCTTCCCGAGACAGATCCATATTAATGCGAAATAATGTGCGACCGCACACGTCACGACTAGTTACGGAATATTTGGACGAATGGTTTCGCTAGGTGGCAGTCCTGATCTTAATCCAATTGAGCCACAGCAATACGTCGCCGAGAGTCTCCATGATCTGCGAATTGCACTTGGGGAAGAATTTGATTCTATTCCACAATAATTTGTTAAAAACTTTATTATAGTCTGTTTGGCACTAGGAGTCCGCACTAGATATTAGCCGTATGGTTAAAATGTTTTCGTTTTTTATTTGTTTGTTTGTTATGTTCTTTTTAGTTCTCTAATTAAAGTTACTGCTGAATGGTTATTTGTTGCGTTTGTACAGCATATTCGTATAAATAATCTTATAATATCTTCAATAAAAAAAACCGTTCAGAAAAGATTATATTCCAATGTGATGATGTGACTGTGTATCATTTTCAAACAGACTTATACTCGTTAGTGAAATAAAGATTTATTTCGGATATTTATATTAGGATAGGGCGTCTTATGAAAGAGGGATGGTCAAAAGATTTGGACGAAAATCAGCTAGAAGAAGAGTTACAAGAGGCAATGTCGGCGGCCAGAGCTTGGATGGAGATCGTGCCCGAAAAACGGGAAGAGAGATTAAGCGGAACTGTCGAAGTTGGCGAATGGGTGCTACTTTCAGTTAAGTCGACTTTACCAGGTAATAATTCCAGAATTTGAATAAAAACAAATCACGTACTCTTCGTATTGCCTTTCGTAGCGGGAATTGGATGGAAACTCGTGAATTGCGTCGCCCACGACGGTTTAGGAGATTCATTTCAAAAGCTTTTAGACGAAGAGGGCTGTCCCCTCGAAGAATCGTTACTACCGCCTCTCAAATACGGTCCGGTCCGACCTATAGCGTCGATGCGACATCAAGAAGCTACGGCCCGGTTCGCGGCATTCAAATTCCCGGACAGGGACCGGCTGCATTTTAAATGTCAGTTGCAAGTTTGTCGCGCAACTTGTGGCAAAGTAAGTCGAAGATTTTGCGCAGCCTAAGATTTTTTTTATTAGATAAGGCACCCCATAGACGATACGGTTTACCGGAAGGCAGGCCTTTCGATTTGCAAACCTGTTTTTGGTGTAATGCAAGGCGAAAAGTAGCCATGATCTCGGAAAATGACCTTACGTTAATAGGAATGGCAGTAGCCTGAAAAACAGAAAAAGATAAAGCGTGTACGTTTGAAATGGGTAAAACAGTGGTTAATTAATCGACAAGCGTATTCGCATACGCACTTATTAAACGAGTTACAATTTTAATAATACCCCCCACCACTACCCTTGGCGGAGGGGGAGGTGGCAACTTAGTAATAACATAATATTGGGTTGCTACCGACACTAGAAACTGGTGCCAAATTTCAAGTCAATCGGACAAAAAAAGTCTGTCAAAATCGAGTCCAAAGGAGTCGGTCACAAACATACATACATACATATATACAAGTGAAGCTAATAAAAGCGTGTTAAAAATAAGAGTCTCGGTTTTTTGTTTTTATGGTTGTTATTTATAAATATTTCTACTTGTAGGTATAAAATTATTTTACAATAAACGTGTCTTTTGTAGGTGCTGGATCTATTGTTTTTAATTTTTTCACCAATTTATTGTATGCATCTAATTTTAAAGCTTTATTTAAATATTGTTGTTATATAAATAAGGTAGCGATCTATATAACTGGAGGAATTCTTCTATAAATTCGTGGGACCACGTTCTCATATTTGTCATTTTTTTGAAGTAATTTAATTGAAAACTTAAAACGACTCAGTATAGTTCTTTGATTTGTGCTTAACTGATCTGCTGTCTCCTGGCTCGCAGAAACTCTTGGCCTGTTCTCTTATATCACACATACACGTTCCGGCTTGTCAGGGAAAAGCAGAGCCGGAGGGTAGCTTTTCAAGCGCTGGCAGTTTTTTGAGAGGCCGAGGGTTCAGACCCGGCCTTCCGACGAATCAGCCCACTAACGATACGGTTTGCCTTCAGGTTTGCAAATCTTTCGATTTGCAGGCCTGAAGGCCTGCCTTCCGGTAAACCGTATCGTCTATGGGGTGCCTAACAGTTTTTACAATAATTTTCATAGTTTTATAGGAAAACTATTGCTCTTGGTTACTTCAGTTTTTTTTTAAGTTTTATTCCGTCCTGAAAAATCTTATAAAACTTTTTGCTATGCTGCAGCTATTATGAAACCTGGACTCCGATGCGCTTGGAAAGATCGTCAAAGAAGTTGCTGTTTTTCCAACTTTCATTCTAAACTTTATCTGGATATTTATAGAAAACTAAACATACTTCTTTTAAGAACAAATAAATAAACAACAACTGAAAAATGAGATTAGATTGATTGGTTACTTTTAGTTCAATAACCGGTACGGAGGTTTATATAAATACTTTTTTTGGTGTAAGAGTATAAGTGTTTATTATTACTTGAAAGTAAATACAAAACTAAAGTTTTTAAAAACCGAACCGGGTGAGCATGGCTTCCTTTTATGTGGCGTCCATTTTTATGTTTTTTCGAATGCTTTTTAACAAAATTATTATTTGATAAATTTATGATATTTATTTATTATTTTATTAATTTATTTATAATGTTTCATAACATATTTTCATAATAATGTCAACTTAAAAATCCATGGCTGTCAAATTTAGAGTAATAGCAAACTACAATGACAAGGGAATTTTAGTATATTATGCAACAAGTACGGTAAACGGCGTCACGAATTTATTTGTCAGGAGCGGAGCGAGTGTTTAATAAACGAGTGGCTTAGAAGGTTTAGGTGTTGCATACTATACTTTTTCTACGATCATTAGTTGTTGGGTACATTTTTTCAAAACAATACGAATACATTCACTCACTTGACCGTCAGAATTGGCAAACGTCAAAATTCAAGGCGTGGAAAATATCTCCGAAAACATCCGATTGTTTCGAAACTAGTGGCTCGGATCTGTAGGACAAGAAACTCATATGACAAAGTGGCGTTTCCCGCACTCTAGATTGCTGTATAATTAGGTATTTTACAGAAGAGAGTAGAAAAAAGACGACGTTTTTTATTTGGTGTTTATAAACACTGTAGATAGGTTTTATAGTTGTGACGTATTTTTTGCCGTTATAAACCTTATCTGTGGTTTATAAATGTGACGGGAACCTCCAAGTTACAAATTGATGGGAATTAAAAGTTTCGCATGAGATTAAAATTTTGTCACCGCTTAACTGACAGTAACCTACCGACAATGTAAACCCCAAACAAAAGACGCCTCTTTCACCTTTTTCCACTTCACTTGTTTCCAAAATATTTTGCTTTTAGTCTAAAGCTGAGATCAATGGATTTTTCTCTTTTGTCACTGTTATGAAAATGTCTTAATATCTAAACGTCATAAAAACTCTGAAATTTTCTTAGGACAACTTAATTTTGTATGGAATAATTTTATATTTTACCCTTCCTAAAACTTACAATAGTCGCCAGAAAAAGAGGCTCCACTAGGTTCGCTTTTAAAATTTATAGTTCTAATTATATGGGTTTTTATTAAACTTGGTGTCTTGGAGCACTATTGCCTTTGGAATGAAACGTAAGGTTATAGGTATAGTAATATTTATAGTTTTCAAAGTTAACAAAAATAACTTATAAATACCTTCTTAAAATTAAAAGCAACTGGAAAACCATTTGAAAGCTATTAATGCACAAATATCAAAAATTTCAATTATACATTTATCAGCACATTTACTGTTTAGAAATCTTCTGGATTCCTCCTGCATCGATTTTGTTATAAATCAAACTTGCTCTGAATAAGCCAACAGGATCATTTTCGAAATGTCAGCAAATTTGATTCACAAGAATTTGTTCGGCGTTTCTATAAAATATTCGCTTTTTTGTCCACGTTAAACAAACGAACGCAAATAAATTTTTTCGGTGCTGTTCATTTATTTACACGGGTATACTCTACAAATTGCTTGATTTGTCTACCAATTTTTAATTTGAAAATAACATCAGAAGCTAAGAGGCAGTTAAAAATTCTCAGATGCAAAGAAAATGGTGCGGCTGGTGGACTGGTGGAAAATAAACTTAGCTATAGGAGATTCATACACTAGCTCCTGCACTTGGTTTTGTAACTATCCATTTGCATTTGGTGTTCACGCAGAAAAGGGCTCAAGCCTTTTTTAGAAAAATCGGGAATTTCCCAGTGCATTCATTAGTCGGCCATTTTTTAAATTTTATTTTTGTAATGCTTGTAAATACGAAACAGAATCACACCACTCCGTATATACATCGATGGTTTCTATCTCAAAATAACAGCTGTCACGTCTTGGGAGCAACATCTAAATTCAAAGCTTAACTAACAATTTTCTGTACAACGTACACACCAAAGAGTATAAGATCGAGGGGAAGTGCCAATGTTAAAAAGCGTACACGAGTTTTAACGCCTCTAGTAATTGTGTCCAGTCATGAAAACGGAAAACGCACGAGACGTACGGTTCAATTCAATTTAAAGTTTGAAAAAAAATTATCTCGAAATAGTTTTTTTTTTTAATTAAAATGTAAATTAAGTGCTGTTATCCGTTACAAGCTACTGTAGCATTTTCAGTGTGACGCATTACTTTAAATCGCTATGACAGTACTTTAGTACTTGCACACAAATATTAGATCTTATACTCTTTGGTACATACTATAAAACAGACTGAGCGAATGGGCAGCATTTTCTTTAGATGTATCGTCTAGTGAGCGAACCCGTGCGATGGCATTCGTTAGTACGTACACACTAACCCAACGAATTCGTTCATCTTCTTTCGACTTTGTTCGCTGTATGTATGCCTTTATATATACATGCCTCTTAAAATTGTGCGAACTTAAGAAAACAATCCCGTCTTTGACGGTGGCCCTAGAAGATTTAAGTTAAGTTAACTATAAAACTCCAAACAAAAAGTGTTGTAATCAGGTTTTTAAGAACACTATAAAACCATATAAATATCCGTTACCTAATAATAGCGAAAATGATTGTGGGCGTTCCGTTTATAATATTCTCCGTTTAAGTGCGATAGAGGTTTTATAAGAGCAACGTAAAAATCAGAATTTATAAAATATGTAATCAAAACATAACCGTTACCATTATAAACAAAAAAAATATTAGTTGGTTTGTGCCTCTACAAAAGACCCGAATTTTAGACGAACTGCAATGATCCGAGCGACACTTCGGAAAAGCGAGCAGGTCGTTCGAATTACAAGGACCACGGCCAAGTGCTGGACCACTTGGAAGTGTTCAACAGTATGGAAGTGATCGCTCCAGATATTGACGACGCGAACGACTTTAGAGAAAAGATGAAGTCCAGCGGTAAGTTTTCCAGAAGGAGGAGGGGTACTGTACAAAATCTGGGCCTATCTTCATCTATTCTACAACGTTCTTACCTCTCTTTTGTTGTATTACTATTATGTAAATACTTAAATACATTCTTTCAATTGCATGCATATTTTATTTCCAGCGCTCCTACACCACCCGAATTATGTTTTGAGTATAGAGTTTTGACAAGTGGAACACTGTAAATGCACTTAGTGGTAACAAATAGGCTTTAATTAAACAATAATCATTTTGACGTACCAATGACGTCTCATAGGCGACCCGACGTTATATAGCGTACATAATTTTACATCTAAATGGAACGAACAGATTTTAACCGACATTAAAAATACTTTACCAAAAAATCATAGATATTTTTACTCTAAATAGTTGTTATCTGTTTGCCAATAATCATAGCAACCTGTCAAAAAAACACAAATTGAAGATTGAATTTCACCGACTTTATTTGGAAACGCTTGAAAATGTTCGTCCATAAACATAGGAATTCATGACGTACGTATTTGTATTTCGAAGTGGTAGGATTTTTCATTCAATGTACCATGGCCAACCGAAAAGAGGAGCACAAATATTTTTGCTAAAGCCAGTAAGTAAAATAATTAGTCACCGGCCAACGGTGGGAAGACAATAACTTATTTGCAGTTAAGAATTGGTTGGTCTATAGTACTCAACCTTGTAAAGCACGTCTATCATTTTACTTGCAATTAATGTTCAGGTATCAATTCAGGTTAACATCAACATATATAAAAGTAACTCAAATAATAACTAAATGCAAGATCGGTATCGGCAAAGTTGTGGTTGTAGTCAGAAAAATGCTCTTTGCTTTATGGCAACTGAGAAACGTGTGTTGCGAAGGCATTCTGTTTTTTTTATCCGTCTTCAATGGTATTCTTCTGGCTGGAAACAGTTCAGAGAAAGAAACAACAGATCGGTCACAAGCGGCTTGGATGTTACAATCAAATGTGCCTAAAAAACATTGAAAAGACGATATTAATACACTAACAGGATCTTAGCAACGATATTAACTGGTATTTTTTGTATTTTTTATTGAATTATACTTTATATTCTGATTACAAGGGTTGATTGATGTTCGTAAGTTTACATTCAATTAGTTAAGGTAAGTAATTCAATAAATTTAATTACAAAGTAAACACAATCAACCAAATATTTTTGTACTGGTTTTAACAATTAAATTATTCATGAAATTATTCATTTCGTAGAAACGATCGCACTCAAGTGCATGCCGTAACACAGCCAAGATGTGCATAAAATGAGCATTCAAAGAAAATATGCTTTATATCTTCGTTTTTCAGTAAGTTACAAATACAACATATCACATCAATTAAGATAATGTATGTTTATTTAAATATTTTTTGGTAAATGTGTTGAGCCGCGCTATTACTCTCATTATTGTTTTTTTTTTGCAATAGATGTTTTGGAAGACTTGGGTAAGTCAATGTTAGTGTCCGCCCGAATAAAGTAAGGTCCATTCACCAATTCACCTCTTGAAATGGCCAGTTGCAGTGACATGGTTTTCTAACATGTCAGCGCACTCAATTTAATCGAAGTAGGCTTTTAATTGTGAGATACAGTTATAATTTTCATAACCAGTCTGTTATCAGGCATGGATGTTAGTATGAGCAGCCACGTGATTTAAAAATATGTAGCAACAGTTTAACAGTATTAGTTTCAAGATGCACTAAGTAGTCTGGTATACTTATTGGAAAACAAAGAAGCTGGTTGAACAAATCAACATGCACTAAGTCACTGAAGGTAAAACGACAAAGTTGTAGAGCTTTCTCTTTAAGTTCCAGTGGTTCGTTTTCGATCTAGACATTAAAGATTTCACAGCACCAAATCCTTGCTTACATTTTGTCACATTTCATGAAAAACCCATCAGGTAGGTATAGGTACATTGACAACTTCTAACTCTTGACTATAGAAATAAACTTGTGGCTGCTTTTATTGCGATAGTATCCTGCTTTTCCGGAGATCATATTTTTAAGTTTGCTAGTGTTAACTGATTGAAGCTACAAGTTTTTTATTAAGATCCTGTTGGGTGTCACGCCCTGTATAAAAGACGTAGTTTTTAAAAGATGCCAATTATACCTATGTTTTTTAAAGTAAAATTAATTGCGTTCTGAGATCGTGTTCCAAACTAACGAATATGTTCGCAACTATTCACGTATTGAGAATGAAAACTCCACAGGCTTAAACGATCTCTCTTAATAATCCTTAATAACCGTACCGCGAATAAAAAAAAAAAACAAGAGTTCATCATTTTATCTAATCAAAAGTCATTGGAGCGTACCTCTTATTTATCAGAGCATTTTTATCGTTCCCATCCATTTATTGTATCCGGTTTTAATTGTCTGTCTAGGATGCTGTTTTGATAATCATTCAAATAGTCGCCAGTTTGATCATTATGGCCCTCCGACGTAGTAAAATTACCAACCTCCCCGCGGTGAATGTAATTTATTCCTATTTAATTGATTGCTAATACTCGGTCTACGCCACAAATCATTCGGGCTGCGCATCCCGCACTTTTTTAATGCGGGGTTCATATGCATTATGCAATTCAGACTAAGCAGGTATTTTTCCTGCAGCTGTTTGTTGTCAGATCAATGTAACATCTATCAAAATTACAGAAGTTATCTTTATAAATGATTTAGCTTTGCGCGGCGTCTCACACAAGATACGCGGAGACAGCTCGGTGTTTCCAATATTAGCCTTTAGCGAATTATATTTATACTATTTTTATTGTTGACATGTAGTAGTCAGAACTGAAACCTTTTTAATACCTGCTATTAATTAATGGATTAAAGCAGGACCAGACGCTTTGGCCACTTTTAGCAACCCATCTATGATTTGTAAGTAGAAGAACATAAGGTTTTAAGAAATGAAAGTATTTTTAGGGTAAGGCTTATAGCTCTCTTCAAACTGAAGAAAACTTGGTCTCATTGTTGCATTTATATTTGAAAAAAAAATTCTGCGGTTCATTTTGGCAGAACACGCGCTCCCCGTTGCTTGAAGAAGTCAAGAAAACCTTCCAAAAAAATCTCTTCGCTGAAAATCGATCAGAGTCTCTGACAGTAGCTGAAGCATTCTCAACATCCATCAACTCGGAAGACTATGGCAGCTTTATACTAGCTTAACATGCTTATTCGTGACTTCGTCTCATTGTTGCTCCCCGTATATGTTCAAGTTCAAATCTGAATCAAAGTTTGTGACATAGCATTGTTACCGATAAATTAATCAAAAAAGATCTTCAAAATCAGCGTTTAACGTCGAAGCAAAGTTTAAAATTGGGATCAGTTTCTTTTCAGGGGTCATTTTTTTTGCCGGCGAGTGTAATTATTTTTATAATTCCCGTATTCACATTCGCAGATGGTTTGGTTTTGTTTATTTGGCGAATTTTTTTTTATATTTCCGTAAGTGCCATTTTCCGATCTATATTAATGATGGCAGAGTCCGGTAATAGTACAATAAGATTTTTTCTTTTTCCTACTCCCTTCTCTAAATATAACTTTAGAGCTTCAGTACTTTTTACAAAACTTCTGGATTCCTCCTGCGTCGGTTTTTGCTGAGTCGAAATTGCTGACGTTTCGCCAATCATCCTGTTGACTTCTCCCGAGCTTGACTGAAACTGTTTCAGCAATTTCGACTCGGCAAAAACCGACGCAGCTGTTTCAGTCAAGCTCTGAAGAAGCCAAGAATGATTGGCGAAATTTCAGCAATTTCGACTCAGCAAAAACCGACGCAGGAGGAATCCAGAAGTTTTGTAAAAAGTATTAAAGTAGCCTGCAAGTTTCTTTGAAAAATTTAGAACTTCAGCTTCGTTACTTGCGCATGCGATATTTCAGGGCTTTTACTGAAGAGTTTGAAAGCGTTCATATATTTTCGGCTTGAATTTTGACGTTTTTCAATTGTGACGGTCATGTCAGACGTCACACAGTGAATGTATTCGTGCTGTTTTGCAAAAAATTACCCAATTAACCAAAACTAATGGTCGTAGAAAATAGTATATTATACAAAATGTGCATATTTTTCACACGAGCCGAGCGAGTGTTTAATAAACGAGTGATTTAAAATGATACCGAACGTGTTGGATAGTATGCTTTTTCTATGACCGTCAGAATTGACAAACGTCAAAATTCAAGCCGTGGAAAATATCTCCGAAAACATCCTATTGCTCCCAAATCGCGGAAATGTCCGAAGTGGGTCGGATCCGCGGGAAACGAAACTGACGTGATAAAGTGACGCTTTCCGCACCCTAGATCGGTGCGTAATTAGGTATTTTACAGACGGGAGTTGAAAAAGTATAAAATGCACGTTTGGCATATTTAATGCCGAAGCAAATATTTTAAATTAACAGTGTTTATAAAGAGAAAATCCGTATGTTATAAAGCAAAGAAATCTGGAGCATTAGAACATTAATATCGATAAATTCTTAGTAGAAACACCAGATGAACACTTTCTTGTGACCAAGTGGTGAAGGCTACATAAACTATTACCAGTTACAGATGACATACTATTCCTGGTTACCTGTTTGAATACGTACATATTTAATTTCAGAATTCGAGACGTATCCATTTCCACAAATTCCGGGCGACAGAGCATTCTGTATATCACCGAACAAAATTGCGATAGCGTTTTGCGCTTTGGGCCTTGTTTTCTTACTGGCGGTCGTCATCACCGCCTGCTCCTTACTGAAGACCAGAAGGTCACATGGAACCTTTCCGTATTATACCAGAAGCCTGTTCTCGTCTAGCAGTGGAGCCGGCTCGGCGTTTGGAAGCAAACTTCTTTTACAAGACAGTCCTATTCTAGGGCAGTCTTCGTCTTCTTCCATGGCCAGAATGCATTATGGAAGGATAATATAATTTCCGTGAAGACTGATGAAGTATCGTTTTTTACGTTTAGATTGAGTCGGGGCATTACAAGAAGAAAATTTTGTACTCATATTTCGTTGTATTAGCTATGATGCATGAGGCTTATTCTAATTGAATTTGTATTATTTAGTTTTGAAACCTGTGGAAGTTAATGCAACCAATTTTCAATTCTAAATAATGTGACAATCTGCATATTGGTTAACATACATACACACACATCTACATGTTAAGAATTTCTTTGTATGTTAATCGATGTTTGTAAGAGTTGGTATGGGATAATAAAATTCTTTTCTAACGGTTGCGTTTCATTTTATTCTAGATCTAGTTTTTGTGGAGTGCGCTATAAAGTACGTAGGTAAGGAACAAAATTAAAATTTTGATGAGCAAGGATGCAATAAATCTCAAACAACAAGCAATTATTCGAAAATTTTTAGGAGTTTTTTTCTATTTTATTATGTATTTGTGAAAAATGAGATCTACAAGAAAATCTGTATTCTCTTTATTTGAAATTACATACCATATTCATTTTCAACCCTTTTTGTGTTTATTCAAAATGTTATTTTGAAATGGGGAATTCGGACATTTCCGGGATATTGCCGCGCGGGTTTGAGAGCAATCGAATGTTTTCGGAGATTTTACGGCACGGCTTGAACTTTGACGTTTGTCAATTCTGACGGTCATGTGTGTGAATGTATTCTTGTTGTTTTTCAAAAATATACCCCAAAACTAACGGACGTAGAAAAAGTATAGTATGCAATACGTTTGGTAAACTTTTTATGTCACTCGCTTATTAAACACTTGCTCCGCTCGTGCCAAGTAAACTCGTGACTCAAACGCCGTTTATCACACTTGTTGCATAATATACAATTTTATGTCAATAATGAAGGGGACGATTTTTCGATCCATTTTAAAAAGAAAATTTCATATGACCATATCCTAAAAGTCTTAACTTTTGAGATACAGATAAACTTGAAAGTTTGGTCAAACACAGAATTTATTCCATCTAAATGAATATTTGTAATCTCACAACAGTCTTCTGAATCCTGTCACAGGTTGTATCAAATGAGCTTAAGCCCGCATTCAGCTTTTTAATTCCACCAGTTGTTCCTCCGCCAATAATTGTTTAGTGAAGAACTAGCTGCTCTGACATTAATAATGGTCTTTAATTCAACTAATTTTAATTATACTAGAACAATTAAACTGTAACTGTAAAGTAGACTTATTTGCTTAACATTACCAATAAATATTTTTTATTTATTTATTTCCTGTTATTATTTTCACTTTTAAATTTTTATTGGTTTAATGTTTATTTCGTTTTATCATTTAATTTGATTTAGTTTATATCTGACCTAGTTTTATTTTTATTCTACTGGGAATTGTAAGTTTAGCATTTTGTAATTGGGTTATGAGAGGTTACTTGCAAAGTTTTCCGGGAGTTTTAAAAATTGGTAATTTTATAGATTTTGATGTGCTTTTTCCAAAATGGCGCTCAAAAGCAGTTTTTTAATAATGACGCCTTTCCTACAATCTATGTCATAACCTTTTTTTCGTAAAATCAATAGTTTCGGTATATGAGCGCCATAAACCATTATACATTCACGTGTAATATTTACTTTAAACTGCTCATATTTGTGAATTGCAAATTACAAAAATTAAACGAAGGTTATATCTTGTTCTATAGAATAAAAACCCAGCTAATTATGGTCTGTCATGTCTCCGCAGGTATTGCGTCGCTTCCGCCAACAGAAGCTGCAGAAGGACAACATTCGTTTCGAACTTCTCACCAGGTTCAGGAGCGGTATTGTAACGAACAAAATGTAGAACAATGGAGATGGAACAAAGACAGTACGGGCTCATTCTTTTTACTATATTCGATGCCCCTGCTCCGGAAACCTTACCGAAACTTATTTCTTGCAAATGCGAGAAAGGTTGTCAAAAGCTTGCGAATGCAAAAAAGCACAGCTAAAGTGGTCCGTTGTGTGCATGAACTGTGGTGGTTCTTGTAATAATTCACAATTTCCGTCACAAGACAGCAGTGAAGAAGAAGAAGAACCGGACACTATTCTCGAGCAAAAAAACGACGAAATCGAGAACGAAAAGAACCACGATGAATCTGATGATTACATCGTCGATGATGCAGAAGAAACTTCCGTTTTTAATATTTCAAGACCGTGAAAACCCAACACCTGGTTCATCAACAAGAATGAAGCAACGGAGATTTAACTAAATAGTAAGTCAGATGTGGATTGGGCCTACTGGGGAAACCACGATGAAAAAAAAGTGTCGACTTCTCTACCTCATAGTAGTGTGCAAATGTGTATTTCTGCCGAAATTTTCTCTACTTTTATTTTGTATAGATATGTGTTTCCTGTAAAATGCGTCGGATAGGAGTTATTATCAAAAACAGCTTTTGTGCGCCATTTTTTCAATATGGCGGGGCGAGTGGCAAGGATACGGCCAAGTTGAAGTTTGGAAAGAGCACATCAAAATGTATAAAATTGCCAATTTTTAAAACTCCAGGAAAACTTTCCAAGTAAAAATAATAAATGACAGAAATACTTGGATTTGCTTCTCTATACGGGGATCTCCGTTCGTATTTTACCTGCAGCAAAGTTTAAATGGGGAAAGTTGCCTAGGAAACTTAGTGGCTTTGATAACCAGTTTAAGATTTACCCTCGGTCGATTGATTTGGGAAACTGAAAATGGCCGATTTCGTTTTTCGCCAATCTAAAGCGGTTAAATTTTGACAGCTGTCAAAATGGAAAATTGTTTAGACACTTTTTTAAACTTTTAACATTTTTTTTCTAGTTGCTATATTGTGTTTTTTTGATTTTTGGAAAGAGCGAAAAATTTCCAGTTCAGTGATATCTCACAAGTGTTCAAAAGATTTTATTACAGCTCGTAAAGTCAGGTCTTAATTATTTTATAAGAATGCCATAATTTATTTAATATATATATATATATATATATATATATATATATATATATATATATATATATATATATATATATATATATATATATATATATATATATATATATATATATATATATATATATATATATATATATATATATATATATATATATATATATATATATATATATATATATATATATATATATATATATATATATATATATATATATATATATATATATATAAATATATATATAAATAAATTATATTATATTAAATAAATTATGGCTTTCTTATAAAATGTTTGCAACTCGTATACGAATTTCTTCCATCTTTTCTTCTCTAGCGCCATTTATCCCCAGTTCTCTTTCTCTTAGTATATTCGCTATGTTCTGATCCCATGTTAGTTGCGGTCTTCCTCTATTTCTTCGGCTGTCCATTCTTTTTAGGTCTCCGTACCATCGTAGTTGGCACTTCTCAATATGTTTGAGAACTGGTTGTACTTTCAATCTCTCTCTAATCGAGTCATTTTGGATTCTGTCTCTAATTGTAATACCTAGGACCCTTCGTAGGTACTTCATCACCATGCTTTGAATTATATTTTTTGCCTTTTGGGTCAGTACCCAGCTTTCGCATCCAAATGTTAAAATTGGGATGAATATTGTTTTAGTTGATATTTCTCCTTTCTCCTATGAAGCTTGATTAAGTGTGAAATAGTCTTGAGGCATTTTCGATTCTCGAATTTAGTGCTGCTTGGTGACCCCCATTGCTACTTAGTTGTACCCACAGGTATTTAGAAACGTCAACTTGCTCTATTCGTTTCTTATTTAATTCGATGTTCAGAATTCCATTTCTTTTGGACGTAACCATAATTTTCGTTTTTTCTTCGTTGATCTTAAGGTTTTTCTCATTTAGCCTGTTGTACCAGATTTCCAGGTTCTTCTTAAGTTCCCTTTCATTTCTTGCAAACATAACCACATAATCTGCAAACGCACATTCGCGTATCCAGATGCAGATCTTTATACCCTACTAAGAAATCGAATGTACTGGTTCTTGTTTTTTAATTACATCGCCCATAACTAAGTTAAATAGTAACGGACTCAAAACTCTTCCCTGCCTAACGCCCTCGTTTACTGTAAAGTATGCTGGTTGCATGTTGTCGGTTATGACGCAATTTTTGCTGTTCTTATATATGGACATTATGGCTGAAATTAGTCTTCCCTCGACGCCTCGCTCTATCAAACTCCGCCTCACCACATATTTTGGTTAGTTTGTTTGTCAAAAGCTTTCTCCAGGTCTAGGAAAGCTAGATAGATCTCTGTATTGCTGTTTTGTACCTTTTCCATAATTTGCTTGATACTGAGATGTGGTCGTGTATGCTTCTTCCTTTCCTGAATCCCCTTTGAGAATGCTCTAGTTGTGGTTCCAGGACTTTAGAAGGTTTTTCTTGTAAGACTTGTTCATATACTTTCGATGGTATGCTCAATAATGTTATTCCTCTATAGTTACTACAATCTATTTTATCCGACTCCGATTTTCCTTCCCTCTTGCCACGCTAGGTCGGTTATTCTTGTTAGCACTCGACATCCCACTTCAATCATATTTTTCAACATCTCCCCCGTGATTTCCTTGTCCAGCTGCTTTGCCTTTTTTTAGCTTACTTAGAGCGCATTTTATATAATCCATCCTTATGTAGTCGTTCTTGCTCGTATCGCCAGGGCCTTGTTCGGTTGCATCATCTTCTTTATTGCTGTTATTCAATAAATTTTGGAAATATGTTCTCCACCTGTCGATTATATCGTTGTCGTTGTCCAGTATCTTTCCATTTTTGTCTTTTATTTGTTTTATAATTCCGAGCTTATCTTTGGTACTTACAGTTTTTTGCGTTTTGTAGAGCAATTTTTGGTTGCTTTGGAAGACCGATTTGATTTTATTTCCAAAATCTTGCCCTGATTCTCTCTTCGCTTTCAATATCTGTTGCTTAACTTTTTCTCTTTGTATTTTATTCTCCTGAAAGCTCTCGTTGTTTTTAGTTGCTAGATGTTTTTTCCATTTTCTTGACATCTGCATTCCATTTTAAGTCCCTGTTTATTTTTGTTACTCCGCATACTTCTGCGCTTGTTTTAAGTATCGTACTTTTAAAAAAGTCCCCACAGTTGATCTAGGTTGTTGGTTTTTGTATCACACATACAGATTCATTTTATTTTGGAATTTCACTACTATCTCTGCCAAGTTTATAGAATCTAATTGATTCTTTTCTGTTTTTATTTTGTTTGGTGTGTTTTGGGT